CATATGTGCTCTTGGCACCAGGACACCTTAGGCTGCAGTTCGACAATCGACTTTGTTGTTGTTTCGTCTCATCTGTGGCTGCTTGTCTTGAAAACTCAGGTGAAGAGAGGGGGAAGAGCTGTCAACTGAGCACTACCTGGTAGTGAGTTGGCTTCAATGACGCCAATTTACTGCAACGCCGTGGCTGCATTGTTTTCTAAAATGGGCTTAGGTTATGGCCACACCTCCTGAACGCATATGTCACTAAGCAGACCGCTAGCCAAACCAAAGCTGAAGATAAAATAAAGTGCCACCGTTAACACTTCTTTTTAGTGTCAGCTCATGACCAGGCTCATCTTCCTCAAAGAGGAAGGATCATTTTTAAAACCCTTGTTTTGACGCCAGACTTCGGCTGCGGGTCTCCTTTTCCCATCTATCAGCTAAACAGCTGAGCTTTCTGCTGGTCATTTATCTTTCTCCTCCTTTATACATAAAAACCCACTTCACTACAGAGAGGTAACAATCTGTCACAGATTGTTCCAATATCTAAACTGTTGCAGTGAATTCTGTCTCTATTTACTCAACAGCTCTGTGACTTTTTATCAGACTCACTGTCACGGAGCGCAGCTTCCTCTTTCTCCCTGCAGCAAAAGGCAACTGAACCATCCTAATCTGTTGAATATGTGAAATTTCCACCAACAGAAAAGGGATTTCATGTTTTCTGTGTTTTATTTTTTATGTTCGTGAGCACATCTCCTCTCAGCTCTCACAAATTCAGCTGATTTTTAGTGTAACTACAGTTTAACTTGGGTTATTTAGAAAAATAATTGTGTGTAGTTTATAATCCACATTTTAAACAAATTGAAACTGAAGCTCAGAGAGACGGAGTCTTGCTGCTGTGGTGTCCCAAAGGTGTGTTTTCATTGGTCGATTGCAGACGGGAGGTTTTCAAGCAGTCCTTGAAGAATGTCGGAGGCTGATTTGGATCGTGAGACAGTTATATTTAAATGGTCTCAGAGCCAGTCAGACTGGATGACCGCAAATATGCAAATCATCATCACGTTTACAGTTTTTTTTTTTTTTTTATACACGATTATGCTCCCAACGAGGGATTTGGCTAAGACAGCCGCAAATCACACAGTGTGACCTGGACTTAACAGTGATTTTGTTTTTGCTACAGTCCTTCTATCTCCCACCTCCTGCACTGGATCAAGGGGACATCTTAGAACAGTGCTGGGCTTCTTAATGTGTTCATCTAATATGTAGCAGATAAGCTGCTGCCTAAACAGACCACACCATAAAATATGGCTAATGCCACCATAAAGTAAAAGAAGGTCCCCAGGAGCAAGTTAAGTCTGCTCTAACCCTTCCTGAAAAGAGCATCCGTGTTGTGGCTCCAGTTCAATTTTATAATCAGGTGCACACCCAGATACTTAAAGATAGGGCAGCTCAATTATGGTCAAAATGATAATCACAATTATTTTGACAGAAATTGAGATCTAAATTATTTTAAATGATTTTTAAATTAATGTTGAATTAATGTATTTATTTATTATTTCTGACATAAAATTGCACAAGGCACAATCAGGACAAAAAGAAATAAGAAAAAGAAACAAGAACAACAACTCCTCTTCCTGCCCATAGTTAATGACCCAAAGGGTATAGGCAGAGGTTTAACTTATTTAAGCGTACCCAATACAGACCTAAATATCCAACCAATATCTTGCAAATACTGACAGTTAAAATTAAAGTCCCATTAGTTGTCACATACACAGGTGTGTGAAATTTGTTCTCCCAATTTGATTTATCCCCTGGGGGAGCGGTGAGCTGCAGACACAGCCGCGCTTGGGAACCATTTGGTGGTTTAACTCCCCAATCCAACCCTTTAATGCTGAGTGTCAAGAAGGGAGGCATTGGGTCCCATTTTTCTTTAAGTCTTTGGTAACATCCAACCGGGATTTGAACCCCGATCTCCCAGTCCCAGGGTGGACACTCTACCACTAGGTCACTGAGCTGACAGCAAATACTTATACTGTGCATTCATGATATAAAATAAATTTAAAAAGTAAAATAAAAACTTCTACACATTTATGTTTTCGTGAAGTTCACAAAATGTTGCTAATATTTATTTAGTCCTGTCGAGTGGTGCTGTAGGGGAGTGTACAGAAGCAAAGTGTCCCTCAGAGTTGAAATATTATTTATCAGCATAGGAAACTTATTTCTAAAATATTTATTTACAGGTCCCATTAGTTAATGAAAAAATTGTCCCAGGCATAGCAATCGGAGGTGCGCTGCAATAGCGATGGCAGATTTAAATTTAAATGCAGTGCAGAGTTTTTATCTGACAACGGCACAACACTGACAGTTTTAGGCAGAAAATTTAAATTTTAACTAAAATGCACTAAAGTGCAAAACTATTGACTACACGTGTCTGCAGCACAATTAGACACACATTTATATAGTTTATCAGAAAAAAAGCAGATTTGGGGGTGACTTGCTCTTTAATAATAGTAATAATGCATTTTATTTGAGGGGCCTTTCTAGAAACTCAAAGCCACCATACATTTAAAATAAGAGTTAAAAACAACAAACGGTATAAAACAACAGATGAAGAACAAGGTACTTAATCATATTTGATTACAGTGAATAAGCAGTTTTAAACAGGTGGGTTTTAAGCTTTGTTTTGAAATGATGGAGCGATGTGGTGTTCTTTAGTTCAACTTATCCAGAAAGTAGCTATGGGTTACCGGCAATATTTCTAGGTTGTTTACTAGGTACTTTAAGAATTAAAAAGTCAAGAAGGGGGTCTGAAAAGCTGTTAGAAATAGCAACAAAGTCGCTAAGTTGGTAACACTGTGGGAGGTGTGCTTGACTTTCGTAGCGCAAGAGGAAGTAGTACATAATCGTTTTGTTTTCATAAACGTTCAAAACTCATATTGTAATTGTAATTAAAATTTGATTAATTGAGAAGGCCTACTTAGAAGAGTTCAAAATTCAATAGATTTGAAATTTTCTAAATCTACAAACAAATTGTATTTTCTTCATTAATGTCTAATCTACAAATGGTATAATTCTGAGAAAAAGAATTTGGAAATCCGTAACTTACTCTGTACTGACGGACCAATTTATGTGAGGGGAAGTGAAGAGTCGGGACAAACTGGTGGACAAATGGGCTGCTCATGGCTGAACCATACAGATGATTGCCCAGGATGGTACTGACGAGTGTCTTTCCTGTGCCCATGGAGCCATGGAAGGACAGCACTAAGGGCTGGTCGGGACTTTTTTTCTCAAGGAACTTCGCCACTTCCTCTGAGACAATGTCCTGAACCAGATGTTGGCCAAAGACATTTTTGTAAAGGTCCCACTCCAAGTCTGCCAGAAAATAAAGATAATCATACGTGAAATTCTCAGATTAGGACTGAGTTTAGACCAGTGTTTCACAACCCTGGTCCTCAGCGCACACTGACCTGCATGTTTTCAATGTCTCTACTTCAGCACACTTCATTTACGATGGCTCCTCGGGAACACATCAAGTGCTGCAGATGCATGTTAATCACTTATCCATTTAAGTCAAGTGCATAGCCACAGGGAAACAATGATGTTTAAATGGGCAACGTGCAGGACAGTGTGTCTCGAGGACCAGGGATCGGAAACACTGGTTTACACAACAATGCTGAAACCACAAAACAGGCTTTGTATGCATTTGTCCAACAAATGGCTAAATGAAAATAATGTTTCTGCTGACTTCAACTCTCATGTGTACATCATGCATAGCCTATTTATAAATGTCCAAGTCATCTTGTTAAATCAGAATCAGAAAAAGCTTTATTGCCAGCGCTCCAGCGACCCAGAGCATAGGAACTTGACTCCGCAGCACAGCCTGACCAAGGTTACACACACACATGTAGACAGAACAGATACAGGCAGACCACGAGAGCAGCCAGAACGGCGCTCATTTCAATTAGATGAAAAGGGGATTACATGAGGATAAATTGGGGGAGGGAAAAAGGCATACCAGAGTTACTCCCAGCAGGGCGTAGCTTTACTATATTTATATTACTATAAATTATAATAACATTGTAAAATTTTAAATACACACAGAAAAAAAACTGCTCATCTGCTCTTTTTTCCTACTTTAGGTGAAATCATTTAATTGTAACTTTAATTTGTTGCTGGTTGGCTTGTTTTGACTAAATATTAATGACAAATGAATGAAAATTGAATTGCGAATTTTTATTTATTATTATCTGAGGAATAAAAATGACTGAATTGTCTGACAAGGACCGATTGTTAATCCTTTTTTTGTTCGTTTGTTACATATTTTTTGCAGCAGACCACAATCTCGTTTCACTTCAAATAGAATATTTGATTAATTGATGGAGGATTTGATAGAAAATTCGAATACTAAAATATTTGATAGCTGCAACCTTAGATTTGTAATAGGGCTCGTGATCACACGTGATTACATGTAGCATTCTGGGATGTGGGCGGACATGTTGGAAGCTTGACGGGTGTTAACAAATGGTACTGTCACACAGAAGAAGCAGATTTGGGTGAAAAAGTTTTAAACAACATTATAAAATCCCAATAAGGATTAGAGCCCTGCACTGAAGCCCTAGGCCCTCGGGCCGGGCTTCAGGCCAACGACTGTGCAATCACCTCGGACACGGGCCGGGCGCCTTTATTTTTAATCGAATTCATTTTAAAAAAATTGAAACACAAACGCAGCAGTAGAGCCCTGCACGGGACTGTTTTCTTCATCCCGCTCCTGCCCGCTGAATTTCTGACCATTACCGCCTGCAACTGCAACGTGTGTGTTACACCCCCGCCCGCACCTGCAGCGTGCATGTCTACTCCTGCCCGCAACCGCAAAACTCGGAGAAATTATTACCTCACAATAAAAGAGATGTATCGAGTTTGCGTCCTCTCTGGTCCTGGAGAAAACATGTCACAACCCGCGGCTCTTCCATCCATCTGATGCGGCTCTCTGTGCTTGTAAAATAATGAATGGATATTTCAATAAAATGCTTTATATTTTACTGAATTAATTTTTTATCTGTAAGTCAATTAGGGCTGCAACAAACGATTATTTGGATAATCGATTAATCGGATGGGGTCTCGACACGATTAATCGATTAATCGGATTACATGGTGAAATTTTTAAAAACTGCTAGGGAAACGTTATTTCTCTCCTTCCTTCACTTTATTTAACACAACATTATTAGAAAACAGTTCAATAGCAGAAAAACAACATGCCATCACCTAAATTGTCTTATAAGGTGTATAGACAGAGACCCTAAGCTACATCTATCTGTGACCTAAAATGCTTGGTCCAAGTTAAACAGCTTAAGGGCAATTCTCATCTGTTTTGTTTGATCTCATCTGTTGACATTTATTTTAAATGTAATTAAACATAGGCTGTGAATTAATCAAAATTGATCACTATTTCCAAAAATGACTGAAAAAATACCAAATAAAACAAAAGTAAATGAATGCCATCCTCCTTGCGATGATGCCCTGGGCAACTGCCATAAAGTCACATCAAGAAATGCTGCTGATTATTCCAATGATCCCAAATAGACTCACATTAGGCCACATGAAAGCAACTGAACCCAAAAATATATTAACCAGTATATAACTGCACTCTCACACAACACGCCTGCAGCAACAGTTAGGACTCCTCCCTCCCTTTTAAAAGCGTTTTTGCTTCTGAGGACATTGTGGTTGTAAAACCACATGCTAGTAGTCTGGCCCCGGTGTGATCAACCAGTTTCTGCGGGAATGTGACGGCGGAACCAGGGCCAGATTAACACTTTGTTGTACCCTGGGCAACAATATTCAAGGGCTCCATTATCACGACCCAAGGATCACCATAATGTGGTCACATACAGAATATTTTACTGTAATATGCAGTAAATATACTCAATACTTGAATGCCTGACAACACGTAACCCGCCCAGAGTAACCTTTGACCCACCTCGTGTGGACTGACCAATGAGGAGAGGGTCTTAACTTGAGGCCCTCTCTTCATTGGTCAGTCTGCATGAGACTGACTCTCAACTGACGTTCAAAGTCGTAGGCAGCGAAGCGTCTCTGTGCAGCGCAAAAGCCCGGGTGGACAGTTTGTTTAATGTAGGGTGACCATATTTCCATTTCCAAACAAGAGGACAGGGATCTGTGCCTATGACGTCACACTATGGCAACGCCACACAAACAATGTTGGGACCCATTTTTTGTAAGAACTAAATTAATATCAGATTCTGCCAATTAAAGGGCTCTAAAACAATTCATATGTAAATATTTTGCATATTTAATGCAAAATCTAATTTTTCTGCTTTAGTGCTGCAACAAGGTTTTATTAATAATAAATTATTATACCTTTTGTTTTACTACAGCATCGGTAAGCTTCCTGTGCACAGATTATTAAGGATGCTTGTTTCAGCTGTGAGATTAGACGATAGGATCAATGAAAAAATAAGTTGTCACACACTCCATGGAAACTTTCAGAGAATCCACAAATAGTGGCTTTCAAATGGTTTTGTTACTTTTTGCAAGTTTATAAAAGAAGCAGAGGAGACAGCATGTCTGATAATTTAGTTTTTCATCTGATAATATTAGAACATGTCAGTAATGTCTGAGGGGATTTTATAAACACCATATAACTAACACTACTGGAGAGGGTATGAATTACACAGAGGCTTCTGGGGAACCCAGTTATTGGGGGGGGGGGGGGGGGGGGGGGTCGCATTTTGCCTTGGCCCCCAAAATGTCTTGAAACGGCCCTGGGTGTGTGACTGAGTTTTGAAGGTGATCTGAATTGTATCAGATGTATAAATATGACATGTGTATAACTTATTGTTTTTTACTGGTAAAAACGTGTAGTGGAGATAAATCTACCTACATTTTACTTTTCAACACTTTGTTTTGTTTTCTTGTTTTTATTGAACTATTTTCCTGTCCTGTCTGTCTCTCATCTTCCTGCATCTCCTCTTAATTCTCCAGAAAATCTGTTGCCTGGATTCTTACCTTTTCACCTCATCAGTTACTTTTGAGCAGATCAAAGGGATCTCCTGACCGAAAAGCTCAGAGCGCGTTTTCGATGCTGCGTGAGGTGACATCACCACAGCACAGGTGATGAGCTCCGCAGTAGCGCGCTTCAGGCACAAATAAGACAGAAAATAGAGAACATGTGCGGACATGAACGATCGTGTGCTAATTATAGTTTTTTGGTTGCGCCACTTTGAGAATGGACCGTGCGCTGGAAGCAGCTGCCTGGATCGCTGTGCAACAATGCGGAACCGGTTCGCAGCAGCGCAAGTCTGCCGGCTTTCCCTCGCGCTGATCTGCGGCTCTCCCTCGCGCTGATCTGACTTGCTCTGGTCTGCGCGCAACGGCGGGCGGGAAGGGGGGGCGCTTTTGGAAGAGTTGTGCGACACAACGAATCGATGACGCAATTCGTTGCCAACGCTTTTAGTAATCGATTTTCATCTAATTTATCGATTCGTTGTTGCAGCCCTAAAGTCAATTCTATGTAAAGATTGTCTGCGTAAACCTGAACAGGTCCAACCCAGTCTTACTGTGAGACCGGGTTGACGGGTCACGCTTGTGCGTAATCATATGCGCTGTCTGAGCTGAAGAGATTCTGGGATTCTCCTCATGGATTTGTCGCCACATTGGAGACAGGAACAAGCACTATTCAGCCACAGTTTCATAATCAGGGAACATTTTCTAAGTGACAAGTCTCTCTGAGCGACAGGGTTTGGAAAACACTCGCTTCAGTGGGAGGAATCTTCCCGCATGCGCTCTGGTTCTGCAACGCGCTCCAAACCCCTCTCCACAACTTCAGCTTCCTGTGCACATATGCGCTGACAGCGAGCTGCGCTGAGCAGCTCAGATGTTCAGATGGGAATCTTTTCTTGGGTGATTTAGCTACATCTGCGATGTGTGTAACGAATAAAATGTCAGTTCGTCTGCATGCGTCGGGGTAATTCTTTCTATTCTGGAACTATCCGGTCGACTGAAGCCCTGCTTTTGACTGTTCTGTTTTCTTGTGAAAATTGTTGGAAAGAGATCAAATTTAACTCGATTAACACCAGAGCCAGTGCGCCATCATCTCTGTGACGGTAAACGAGGGAAAAACAAATTGATCGGATCCTGCACGTCTTTTAACACATTGGTCAGGATTGACGCACTTTGTTTTCATTTAGCTGGTAAAAAAAAAAAAAGGGGCTCGGGTCGGGCCAGAGAATCCTGAAAACTTTTTCGGGCCGGGTCAGGCTGGGGCTCCACCCCCTCGGGCCGGGCCGGACACAGGCTCAGATTTTAGGCCCGTGCAGGGCTCTAATAAGGATGCAGAATATACCAGGATACGTTATATAAAGACGTCAGGGACTGGTATCTGGACAAAATCAGCGTTATAAATGGTTTTTATTCACATGAAAGACCCAAGACTGGAGCATCAATGACATATTTTTGCCGCCACAGTTCTGCATAAAGGATATTTTCGGCTATCTGTGGTGTGAGCGGATGTAAACCTTCGGATGAGGTGTTAACGTTTTGTTGGTTTTTCTAGTAAAACAATATAAATTGTCATCCAGCAGAAGAAGTGTAGCAGGAGAAGTTGTGCTGTGTGTCAGTGCGCCCGCATTAGCTTACAGGTGTGTGCGTGCGTGTGTGTGTGTGTGTGTGTGTGTGTGTGTCTCGCAGTTGAAGGAAAGAAACTATGTATAAAATCGTACACCATCTGTAACTGACCAGAATGAAAATACTCCAGAAAGTGATGTTTGGTCACCTTCCAGCAGTGATCCAACAAGACTTTGTTATGCTAGATACTTGGTCTCCGTGGTTTTGCCTCCAAGCAGGAAAACAGTGAAAAGTTAGCTTGTTCTCCACCTTTATTCCCCTGGCGATCACGTGTGTCATCCCACAACACAGCAATGATTTACTAGAGTTGTGTAATTTAACCGATCAAAAGAATAATAAATTAATTTAAGCCACAAGAATGAGACTGAGCGTGCGGTTTACAGTAGAAACAAGCAACAAGTAAGGACTCACGGACCTCCCAACAGGGCGGCTGCGTCGGTGATGATCACAAGCCCTACATTGCCATGTTCCTCAATCTTAAAAATCACCTGAGTTTCTCAAAACTTATAATATTCCAATCTCTGTAAAAGATTACTCAATAGTTTTTGATGCAATTCCACCTGGTTATATTAGACTATTACAAAACAACAAAGAACCAAATTTACAGCTATCACCAAAAGAAGATCTTCTAAGGAATACATATTCTGAACAAAAAATGTAATAGTAGATTTTTCAGATGTATAGTTCATGCACAAACAATTCCTAAATGTCAGTTCTATTGGGAGAATACGATAAACAATATCAATTGGTCAGTAACATGGACTACTGATGATAAATATATGGTCATCAAGAAAATTAAGGAAGTTCATTTCAAAATAATTCATCGAATATATCCTACAAAATATTTTATTAAAAAACATTAAAAAAGAGTTAGATGACTAATTTACAGTCTGTAATTCAGCTTCTGAGACAATCTCACACCTGTTCTATGAATGTGTATTTGTTAAATATTTTTGTTATGAGATAGAACGCTTACTTTCACCATGTCTCGATAAGAATATTGAATTACATTTAAGAGATATGTTTCCTTGCAAATAGAAAATATCTTCTTAAATCACACTCTTTCATTTTTAATCTGATCATTTTATTTGGGAAATTTCATATTCATAAATCTAAGTGGTTCAGCCCAAGCCCCAACATGAATATATTTAAGACGGAATTAAGAATCTATTTTGCTACTCTAAAAGGTATGATGTGCCCGAAAGCTATTAGAACTCTGTTATGTTGATGTCTTTATTTTGAAAGGAATCTTTTAAATACCCCCCCCCCCTCGTCTTTTTGTAATTATTTCTCGTCTTTCAGTTTTGCTTGTTAGAATTGTCTTATTTCGTATTACTTGCATTTATTACATAACTCTGTTATCAAAGGAATTTGTACTTATGTCAATTTGTATTCTAACTTGCTTTAGCCCTTGTAATGATATTGAAAATATATTTTTTAATCCTATAAATCGCCTCACTATTGTTATTTTTTATTAGTAGTAGTAACATTGTTTTTGTCATTATTACTATTATTGTGTCTATGTATGTGTAGATTTGTCTACCACCTTGTCAATGTCTGGTTATAAGAATTTCTTTAACAGAAGCATCTCATAAAATTTTTTATAAAGTTAAAACGGAACCAAACTTGATAAATCTGTACACTGAGAAACATGTTTAAGCTAATATTAGCGGAACTTTGTTTAGCTAGTGAAACTAGCTGGCTAGCAGCTAACTAGCATCCGCTGTTGTGCTAGCTATGTTAACCAAGACACAAAAGCATTTTTTACCTCTGATATTCGGCTTGAAGTCGCAGTCGCAGCTATCTGATATTGAGCAGTAAAGTTTCTGAAAGACGCCACAGACCGGACTGTAACCGAATAAGTAAAACAAAAACAGGACATCAAACATTTTTGACTCCTGATGTCCAACAAACGGAACGCAGCCTTAAGTCATCCCCATCTACTTCCGGATCATGGGACGATGTCTGGAATCGTAGTATGTCCAAGGAAAGTCCCGCCTTTCTCATGTCTGGGTGAAACGGACTCTAATACGATTGGCTATTTCATTTAGCAGAAAACCGTCTTTCCCAATAGGGAGCTTAAGTCACTTCCGCATCATGGTCGTCATTTGGAATTCTAGGATGTCCAAGGAAGATCCCGTCTTTCTCGTCTCTGATTGGCTAGAAAGGCTCTTCTACGATTGACTATTTCATTTAACAGAAGAAGTAGAAAAGAACAAATATCATTTCAATAACAGCAATCTGGCTGTCCTCGCTAAGTGCAGCCTGACCTTCCACCAGCAGAAAGCTGTTTGGGGGAGTTTAGTAAAGAAAATGTGAACTTAGCGCTATAATAAACATTCTGTCCTGTTGGCAAAATATTTTACGTTTTTTGTTTCATAAGAAAAACTGAAAAATGTAAAATGTGAATTTAAAATCTTGTTGCATTTATCAAACTGTTGGACTTACTTTACATCACTTGGCTCTGAAGCATTAGAGTACATAGGATCAACACATGTCCCTTACCTGGGTATGACATTTAATAAAACTGCCCTATTCTGTCAAGCTGTGCGTATCAGGTCTGTTTCTTCTCTAGAATAATGAAAACTGGTGACAAATCGGTCTAAATCATAATCAGCTTTAACTTAATTTTTGATTAAATGATATACATTTAATCTGATTATGAGAGATGTGCTCTAACTTGTAAACAGCCTTAACCTATTAAAGCAGGATAGCCTAATAATGAAGTAATAAGATAACCCCAATAGAGCCAACAGATATAAAACCAGTCTACAGTGTGATAAAATGCTACAAAATTTATTACAATTTCACATTTGATGTTTTTCAAAATATTTTATGAAAGAAACTGAACCTGGCTTGTTGCTAAACAGGAAAGGATGTTTATTATAGTGATGAGTTCACATTTCCTTCAAAAAACTCTTCAAATTCTGGCTGTAAACGTAAAAACCTACAGCCAGGAAAAACTGTTACACAAATAGCTAATCTCAGTAGAGCCCTTCCAGCCAATCAGAGGCGAGAAAGGCAGGACCTTCCCTGGACATCCTAGAATTCCAAATGACGCGCCCCGTGAGAAGGAAAAAAATGAATGCAAGTCAATGGGGCTAAAAACGCTATTTTCTAATTTTGCTTGTTTTGTGCCATGGATTTCACATATGATGTCCGTGAATTTTAAAGACGCATTTTGATACAAAGAACATGCTTATTTTCTAACGGGGGGATGCTATTTTAGATTTTGTATGAAAACAAGTCCAAGACCACATGCGCTTGACGAAAGTGAAGTCATCGAACGAAACACGAGACAACAGACAATTGAGGAAAAAGGGCTTTAAGTTCAGCAAACTTCTCACAGAACAACCACCATAAATCTGGTCGTGTGGTAAGTAGCAGCATCACTACCAGCGTATGAATGAGTGGATCGCTGATTATGTTGTAAAGAGCCTTGGGGGTTTGTAGCAACCTAGGAGGCATTGTACAAATACAGGCCATTTACAACCACTACAGTTCCACTCACCCTTCCTGAAGTTTTCTTATTGCGTCACCTCCGTAAGAATCACCTGTAGAATCCGTTGTTAATCATTTCCAACCCCACTCATTACCTCTCCTGTTCTTCAGTGGCTCAGCTCCTGGCTCCTGACATCCCACATTCCATCCATCCTCGTCAGTCTTGCGGCTACCTGCATCCCACAACTCATTCATCCATCCATCGTCTTTACCCGCTTATCCTTGCAGGGTTGCGGGGGGCTGGTGCATATCTCTAGCTGTCTCCGAGCATGCAGGCGGGTTGCACCCAGGACAGATTCCATCGCAGGGCAACACAGGACAAACCACCAAGCATACACACACTCACACCTAAGGACAATTTAGAGAGACCAATGAACCTAACAGCCATGTTTTTGGACTGTGGGAAGAAGTCGGAGCACCCGGAGAGAACCCACGTCTGCACAGGGAGAACATGCAAACTCCATGCAGAAAGACCCCAAGTCGGGATTTGAACCCAGGACCTTCTTGCTGCAAGGCAACAGCGCTAACCAGGGCACCTCTGTGCAGCCCCATTCCACAACTCAGCTTACATTTATTGTTCTGCTTTGGTTCCCGGCACTCCTCCATCAAATCCCCTTCTACCAAAAAAATAGTTTTTATACAACTGCTTATGATCTCATGTGTTTCTCTGCATGTGGGTTAAGACATCTGCCGGAAATCATGACAAAACCATATTTTCTGTTTATTTGTCAGTTCGATCACTTCACTCTTAAGTAGCATATTATCTTTTATTTTTAAAAACAGCATAAGATTATATTAAACATCACCTCACATATCTAAATTCACATCAGCACATGATAGAATAAAACTACTGACATGTAAATGCATTATTTTGTGACTGGCTGTACAATTTGACTTGACAGAAATACATGTCAACTGAGGCTTTTGGGTTATTATAAGACCAGACCTTTCTTTGATCACTGTAACATATCACACTTTCTAAAGGGTTCATGTCCATCAACTATAACCTCAGCTGTTAGTTAAATTAGATCAAATGTAACAGGAAATTTTGTAAAATCATTATTTTGCAGCATATGTTTCTATAATCTATAATAAACCCTTAAAATAAAAGGTTTTTGCTGCTTCTTTATTAATCATTTAGGTCAAACAATAATTTATCCACAAGTCTGTTCTGTTCTCAGAGATGGGGTTGGTGTACAGATTTGAGCAAGAAATAAGTTTTAAAATGCAAAACAAAACTCTTTCTCCATAATATCATGTCCCATTCAAACAAATAAATGTAGGCGGGGTCTTGAGGATTTGTGTGAGGGATTAGACTCGTCTGGCCGGAGGTTCAAGCCTGTTGGACAACGTGGTCAGCACTTGGTGGAACTTGGAGAATCTGAAAGTCTGGTTCTCTTCAGCTCCTTTGCTGCCCCACAGGAGCCTCATCTGGAAGTCAGTCAGGAAGAGCTCCCGGATCTCGCTCTGCTCCTGGAAACCTGGAAAATGGCATGTTGTCATCAGCACCTGATTTGGGTGGTTTTAATTAGGGATGCACCGATGAATCGGCATTTGATCCCAATCGGCCGATAGCGCCCCTATCGGTTTTGATCGGAGTTTTCAAAATAGATCAAAGCAGACCGATCAGACCATTTTAGATTAGGTTACATTTAATTTATTCCCAGCTTATGTAGTTTGTAGCACTCATTATAATGTTGTAGAAAATTTCTGGCCAATCCACGTGATCGGTATCGGTGATCAGCAGCAAAAAACCTGATCGGTACATCCCTAGTTTTAATCCTGGTTACCTTCCAGGTTACCCAGGTTACCTACCTTTAACAGAGATACCTTCTCGGTGACCTATTGGTATGAGTGTCCACCCTGGGACTGGAAAATCAGGGTTCAAATCTGGTTGGGTCATATCAAAGAAGTACCGTAAAATGGGACCCAGTGCTTACTCGCTTGACACTCAGATTTAAGTGGGTGGACTGGGGGGTTAAACCACCTAGTAGTTTCCGAGCACAGCAACTGCTGCAGCTCAACTCTCCCCACGGGGATTGGTCAAATGCAGAGATGTAATTTCACCAGAGTGTGATGATGACTAATTGGACTTTAACCTTAATTTGACACCTCTTACCTTGTAATTTGCTCTCAGCATTGCTGCGGTAAATACCCCCTAGCTGAGCAATGGTCCTCGCTGCTCCCAGGTGGAACATGACCGCATCCACATTAACCTCTCCACACTCCCATGGCCCCATCCCCTCACCCATCGCTGAGGTCTTTTCCAGCAGATTTAGGAGGGGGAGGACGTGGGGGAAGGTGGTGTTGGACAGCGGACAGCTTTCTGGAGGACAGACATGAACAAAATCAGAGACAGAACACTTGCCTTGTCATTTTTGATGACACAGGAGGAGTTCTACCTCTTCCATCGTTCAGGCTGTTGAGAAATGGTCTCAGAGTTTTCTCATAAAGAATGGCGCCCTCGGTGTGCCGCCGCCGTAACGCCATCCATGTCTGCTCCAGACGAGAAACCTGAGAAATGAAGGAGCGTGGACAATTGTCAGAGACATAAAATATCCTTCCTGGCAGCACTTACTGGGATTTCTAGAGATTGGTCCCCCCCCCCCCCCCCCCCCCCGTGTCCTGTCTGGCTGTGAAGCAAACTGAATTGATGTCTGAATGCTGGCGACAAGCCTTACAGATTTACTCTCAGGTGGAGCGTCAAAGCTTGAGCTTTAATGTCATGCCTGATACTTAAAACGTTATAGTTATTGTTTTTTGGATGCTTTTTAAATCTGACCAGAAACGGAGATGGGGGGGGGGGCAGTAAAATTAACAATCACTGATGAACAAGAGTCTGCTTCTAGACCTGCAGAAAGAGACAAACAACACACAACAATACAACATGAGCAAGCTTTCACTGCGTCAAAGCCAGCTTGAACAAGTCCGTTTTCAGCTGCTTTTTGAAGGAGACCACTGAGTCCACTGATCTCAGGCTCAGGGGGAGAGAGGTCCAGAGTCTAGGGGCCACAGCAGCAGATGATCTGTCACCTTTGACCTTTAGACTGGAGTGCTGCACAACCAGTAGGCTTTGGTCACTGGACCTCAGGGACCTGCTGGGGGTGTGGAGACTAAGAAAATCACCAATGTATGATAAATAACCCGCACTTGTATAGCGCCTCTCAGGGTAAGGACTCCAAAGCGCTTTACACTAGAGTATCATTCATCCATTGACACACACATTCACACACTGATGGTGATGAGCTACGATGTAGTCACAGCTGCCCTGGGGCGCGCTGACAGAGACGATGTATGACGGTGCATGTCCATGTGATGCCCAAGGGGGGGGGGGGATCATTCAGACCTAAAGCCTGATGTATGCTTCTCCGTCTGCGTCAGTGCGGAGACACGCAACGCCATTATCCGTCTTTGCGTAGGGCTCCGGCAGGCACGCAAGTACGTACGGCGTCGAGCCCACTTTTTTAAACATCCGTCGAACGAGACGGATTACGCAAGCTTGTGATTGGTCAGGACGCCGCTGTTATTTACAGCGCCGCCATTGCAAAGAGAGCCGAGGAAAACTAGCGGCAGACACGGAGAAGCTTGACGAATACCTCGCGAAAAAACTCTAAAAACATGAACGTTTAATTCTCCCGTGACTGGAGGAGTGAAAAGATGCGCAGCAAGCGTTTTATTTGTGGACGGAAATGACAGGAAACGTGGGTTTAGAGGTGGGGAGCGCATGAAGAGGTGGAGGAGGACGAGAGACAAATTTGTTCGTGTTAAAAAGTCTCTTATATACAAAAAAAACACAATATAAACACACGATCTTGGACCGATACATGACAGGATACCACAGAACAGCACTACGCCCTCTGTGGTCCTGCCGGGCAATTGCTTTGCAACACTCTCCAGGAGACGGAGAAGAATGAGAGCAAAACGCTTCCGTCAATCCGTGCGTGTCTGTTCCTTGTGGCGCTGACGGAGAAGCATAAACCAGGCTTAAGCTGTTACAGGCCTATCTCTATCCTGCCTTGCCTCTCTAAAGTCATTGGAAAGTTATTCAACAAACAGCTAACTCGCTATCTGGAATCCAGCAGTATTATCACCCCCATGCAGCCCGGCTTCAGAACTGGCCATGGATGTGCGTCTGCAAGTGATAAATGACATCATGTGTGCCATTGACATTAAGGAATATTGTGTAGCTGTGTTTGTTGACTTGGCTAAAGCCTTTGGCTTGATTTGGTTGATTTGATTTAATGCATCAACTCCTCCTCTCCAAATGTGGAGCCACAGGAATACGACAAAACTTTAAAGTAATAACAGCATTTTGTTCTTGTTATAATTAATTACAGCAATAATAAATGAATTAAATTGCTTTCAAATGAAATGAAAAAATAAATAAATAAAACAACCACACACACACTTCCAGAGGTAAACCTTAGCTACTGGGTGGGATTGTGAATCACATCAAAACAGATGCACCTCTGAAGATCAGAGAACAAAACCGCCTCCTAACAGGTGGTATCCTCATGAATTCATCAATCAAATGCCTCCTAATGCAAATGTCTTTAAATGTGATCTACTATAATAAAGCCAAATTCAATTCAATTCAATTCAAAAGTACTTTATTAATTCCAGTGGGAAATTCATTTGGGCTGCGCAGTGACGCAGCGGTTAGAGATGTTGCCTTGCAGCAAGAAGGTCCTGGGTTCGCTTCCCGGCCTGGGATCTTTCTGCATGGAGTTTGCATGTTCTCCCTGTGCATGCGTGGGTACTCCGGTTTCCTCCCACAGTCCAAAAACATGACTGTTAGGTTGATTGGTCTGTCTAAATTGTCCTTAGGGGTGTGTGTGTGTGTGCGCACGGGTGATTTTGTTTGTCCTGTGTGTCTCTGTGTTGCCCTGCGATGGACTGGCTCTCTGCCCAGGGTGTACCCCGCCTGATTGCCCATTGACCGCTGGAGATAGGCACCAGCCCCCCCCCCCCGGCGACCCTACGTGGACAAAGCGGGTTCAGACAATGGATGGTTGGTTGGATGGATGTAAATTCAATCGTTTCAGTACACACAATTCTGAGATCAGACATATACACATAGACACATGACAAGAATTGGTGACTGTGGTCATTCACAACACGAGTCGCGCTACCGTTATAGATCAACAGGGTTTATATGAGTCAGGGGGAGGGGGAAAAGGCACTTCAGAGTTACCCCCGACATAGAGGGTAGCTTTGCTATGCAAAAAAACACCTTAGACAGATATGCACACAGACTTCAGACGATACACAAGATAAGTGTCCACTAGGTGGGGAGGTAGGGTTGGGACTCTCCTCACTTCAGGGCATGCAGCCGCATGGAGCAGCGCTCAACACCTCCGTTTGGACAGGGGAGGGAGTGAACCCTGACTCCTAGATACGGTTCCACGGCCTTCAGCTCTTCTGTGTTTCGGTCTGACCCAAGTTAGTATATTTAAGTCCTCCATCAGATTTGTGCCTCTTCTAGTGTCATTTTAAAGGATGTTACGTAACAAAAGGGTACATTTTCACCTACATATTGACCAACATAAAAACCTTTCATCTACAGAAATAAATCCACTTACTATTTGGCCTCCAAACCCAGAAGGTTCTGCTCAGTGCTTGTTTACATACAAGAAGACAAAACATCACGACAGAAATTCTCACCAAGGTCCTGCACTCTCTGCGTAAAAGCCAGACTGCTGATTCCTCACTATCTACTCAAAGCTCCTACGTGACGCTACAATTTATAAGCTTAAATAATCATGTGATGAATATACAAGATGTTTTAATCAAATGTTTGAATAATCTGTGCTTAAATCAATGAATTTAAATGAATATTGTTCTTGCAATGATCCATTTATATCACAAATCACTATGTGTTTGATTTAACAAGTTAATCGTTGTTTACACTCACACACATTACAATAGTTAAATATTCACCTCATATAAGAGTTTTAAAGATTCTCATTCACAAAGTGTTAAAACATCTTTGTATCTGAAGAAGGCATGGCTTTCTTAGGGATGTTGGTAATGCTCCAAACGTGTCAAATTCTGATTTGCCAAACTTGGCCAAAACTCATAACATGGTGGTTTAGTAAACAAGAATTACTTCCCGATTAATTTAGTTTCTAGCTGGCTCTCGAACCAGCCAATTCGGGAACAAACATCTTCGAGACATCTCTTTTGACATACAGTCAAAAGCCTCTTTGTACGCTGCAAGCTGACACAGCCAGACGGCTCTTTTATGAGCCAAACATCCACCTTGGATGCTGACAAGCATTCCAGCTTCCTGCTGTGACTTGGAGACATCTCAAGACCGGACAAGTCGTATCGGAACTAACCTACGAGCTTCGGGTACCTTAAGGTTGAAGTTCAACCGACCTCCCGACAGTCTGGATCTACACTGGTTTCCACAAGGGTATCATAAGCAAGACAGATTTTGTCTGATGGCTTTTATTCATAACCAACTCTCTAGTTTATAACCAAACAACAAATTATTTTACACCCAGACTTCACAAATTCTCTCTGATACAAAGAACATCTAGATTCCATCACACCACCTCACAAATCACATTACATCACCTCCCATCCACCACATCACACCTCTTTATTCATATCTCGTCATGTATAATCAGTAGTTTAGTAAAAATCATTTAATTCCTTTTATAAACTATATACTGACTCGGTCTGGATTAATACAAAGTGTTTATGGTTCCTGAACAAGTAAAAGTAACTATAACCCTCTGATTAAACAATGTTGGGGTCCTGCCCTCATGAGAAAATTACTATGCAGTATTTTCTCCAAAGGACTGTGCCATCTACGCCCTGAAGCGTAGACAATAAAGCCTATTAATATCAGTGCCAGCAGGGACTACATGTCCCATGATCCTCTGCAGCCGGCAGCAGCTTGATGATGTCATCACGCGACACCAAGGCTGACCGGCCCAGTGGATACCGGCCCATACAGAGACCGCCCGCTGGACGAGTCTATAAAGCCGAGGCGCAAAGCGGAACTCTTCCTCTCCCCTGTCCAGTTCACCTGGTGTAAGGAGACCCCCGCCTCTGCTCCTACCGCTCCGGACGGCGTGTGAGGCCTAGCTGCTGGGATCAACGGACCAACGCCATCTGATCTGCTCAGCCCCGGGCACAGAGGGACCCCTTGTGTCCGTTCATTCAAGATTTTTCTTTTCTCTCTCTCTCTTTCTCTCCCGCTTCTCTAATAGTCAAAAACAAGCGGTCGACCACGTGACTGCTTTAAAATACTAGACGTCTCTCTCTTCCGTACCAAAAACGCCAACGGACCATCTCGAACTAAGCTCCTCTTTAATTTTTTAATATCTAAGTTTGTTTTACACTGTGGCCAGGCCAGACAGACTGTTTAGATATTTAATTTGCCTTTATGATTGATCTGTTGCTGTTTTTTCTCTTGAGCTTTGTGAAGCGATTTGAAGTTATTTTGATTAAGTTTACTGTGAACGTTGCTCACACCGTCAAATACGCGTCCGATCAGGGGGCCCACGCCCGCTGATTATACGTGTTTTGGAAGCCAGGATAAATTCCACACACACACACACACACACACACACACACACAACCAAACAAAGGAGCCGCCATTTTGTTTTTCAAAACTCCCTCCAGTTTGGTAATCAGCCTATCTCTGTCTGATCACATCATCAAGCAGCCCCACCTTTGCTTGATTACATCACCATCTCATCCCACCGGTCTGATTAGATTGTTACTTCACAGTATCATTCCATTGTTTCCTTGCTTGTTGTTTGTTTGATAAAATCAGTTGGTTGACATGTTGATTGGCTAGCGCCTTGGAGGAGCTGAGGTGAACAAGAAGAAGAAGAAAATATAATTTCTATAGCGCCTCTCAGGATAAAAATCACGAGGTGCTTCACAAAAACAAAAAATAAAAAAATGTAAAAATATAAAAAAGCATTTAGAAAATGTTTAAAAATATATTTAAAATGAGCAAAAATAAGCAATTGCGATTTAAAAGAAAAAATGTTAAGAAAGAGAGAGAGTGAACAGGAAAGAGGGAAATCAGTGGATCCTGAGGAAGGTGGAATAGGTGGGGAGAGCAGAATAAAGAGAGAGTGTGATTACTGTGAGCTGAGAGTTCATACGATGGATCGGTGGCTTGGAAACTCTGATCATAGATCCGAAGAAATGATGACTGAGTGGTGAGCTGGGGAGACGACTTCCGTATATAGTCGCGGTTCGTGACGTAGGTGCGACGTGGAGGGAATCCCCGCGAGGGGCATGCTGGGAGTTGTGGTTCATGGTGGAGGCCGGCTAGCTGGGAGAGGCTGGTTTGGGGACTTGGGTTCTGACACAGATCATTCCCTTCCCTTGCTTGAAAAATCGTTCCAAAATGAAAGTTGGACCCACATTTTTTTTATCTGTGAATTCAATGCCGTTCGGTGAGTCTCAAATAAAAATTTGGGCATCTTACTGTAAGAAAATATAACATTAATGTAAAAAATAAACTCTAAATAAATTATGTTCACATCCAGAATCGATCCCAGATCTTCTGCACAAGAGTCCGACATCTTACTAGGTGAACTAAAGCGCCAGTAATGTTTTTCACATCTATAACTTTTATATACTTGATGACAGCTGAAACAACGTTCAAAGAATGGTTGGAGCAAAAATGGGTATTTTGTTGCTAATTTGCAGGAAATATCTAGAAGAAAGTAGCTAAGGGTCCTCAGAAATGTAGCTAGGTTCATCACTAGGCATTAGGAACAGCGACAAAGTCACTGAGTTGGCACTGCCTCTCTCTCTGCTGCTAAAGCTACGGATAGCAAATGCTACGGGCTATGCCTGAGCGTGAACGCGCATGAAGCAGCCTGCTCGACCCGAGCATCTCTCTTTTTCTGTGATTTTACAGAAAAGCAGGCAATCACAGTAAAAATGCCAGGGCTCATTCTACAGGACCAGGGCATTGCAGGAGAATGTATGAAGAAGACATTTATTATTTTTATACATGTTTTGGCTGTCAAACTTCCATAATGTCCCTTTAATGAAAAAAAGTAATGAAATAGTTATTTTTCTTAGTAATTAGTTACTGTAAGTAACAGAGTTACTTTTTGAGAAAGTAATCAGTAACTATAACTAATTACTTTTTTAAAGTAACGTTCCCAGCACTGATTACCAGGAATATAAAATAAATATCCAAAATTTATTATTGGAAGTTTAGGATTCTTTATAGTTCTGTTTGGTGTTTTTTCAGCAGCAGAGCTTCATCTAATCTCTGAAATCAGATCATTCAAACAAATTAAAAAACCATGTTACTTCATGTTATTCATGTGTATTTCACCTGCGGCATCTCCAAAGCTCTCATGACAGCGGCGAAGCCAAACATGTTGCCCATGGTGGTCTTTAGCTCTGCAGCAATTTGGATGACTTTATGAAGCAGAGCGGCCCGCTCTTCATTTGTCCCTGTGCAGCCCAACACGTCCACGGCCAATGTGATGGACATGGTGTGAAACCTGCAGCAAAAACAAACCCGGAGTGTTTCAACAGAAGAAAAACACTATTAAGTATTCTTTAAGATCTAAAGGTCTCATTAAGACATTATCAACCCAAAAACTATCATGAATTATTGTTGTTTATGGGAAACAAACTAAAATGTATTCCATCAGAAACAAGGGGATTAGCATCCTCTCTCTAACATGATTCAGAGCATCAGAGGTGACTAAAACCTCATCTGAGCTCTCAAAAGTATTAGCTTCATTTACAGTATTTGTATACGCAGCAGTAAACTTTGAGTTGTAAATGAACACTAACCTCTCCAGCAGGTCCCGTCTCAGCTGTTGACCGTGTTGTAATGTAAGTAACTCCATCCCAGAACCTACACCCATCATCTTTTGCATCTCCAAAGTCCCCTCCATAATTCTCGCTAACTGAAAAAACAAACGTTCTTAGACCAACAGGATAATTTGTAAAATTCCTTCAGATAAAAAAAAAAAGATTTTTAGTCATTCAGAAAAATAACTACTTCCAACAGGTATGATAACGTATTAGTACCATCCAGAAATAAAAATGAACAATTTGGACTTTTTTTTTAAACTTTTTGACATTTTTAGACATAATCTCCATTTGCTTTCATACAAAATATTTGAACAAAACATATGGAAAAGAAAACTTGCCAAAGCTTGAATGCTGGATCTGAAGTTTTAAGACATAAACCACAGATGGAGAATTGGTAACTCCAAAGTAAATGAGCTCAATACAGGTTTACTAGATTTAGCATCAGTGATTTGTCTCATTCTGTTTGCAGAATGAAAACATTGTTTTTTGACAGCACGTCAACATTTATAAACTTTCTGATTGTGAGACTTTTGGGGTTACCATGCAGTCATTCTTGGTGATGTGTCTGGCTGCCTTCCTGGGGTCGACCTCCATAAGCAGCTCCTTCACCCTCCTCAGGATGCTTACCTCCAGAGGCTTATTCTCTCTGGATATCAGCTGTGATCGGTACTTGCTAGGTTTGAAACTAGAAACTGTCTCCACCACCGGCAAGAACACGTTCCCATCATCCAGCCTCCGTGGGCCAGCGCTCATTGAGCATTCCATCGCCTGCAGCCTTTTCACAAAGGTCTGTGGATGCGGCTGGGTGTAGGCACTTCCATCTTTATAAGAGGCGGGGGGAGAGTCCTGCGTCATGGCCGGTATTCTGAGGTACTGTCTGTGCAGCATGGTACTGGGTGAGGAGTAAGGTCCAGTTGTGACTGAGCACTTTGAAACGTCTGGAGATGGACTCAAGCTCAGTGCTTGGCTGCTGAATGGATTTTTGGACGGTGAGGCTGGAGATGAACAAGAGCATATGTACATGTTAGAGTGGTTCATGTTAGCTTAGTGGTACTCACTCCTGGTCCTGGAGAGCCCGTATCCAGCATGTTTTAGTTTTAACCCTGCTTCAACACACCTGATTTCAATCAGCAGGTGATTAACAGGCTTCTGCAGAACTGAATAAGCTGCTGCACAGGTGATTTAACCACTGAATCAAGTGCGTTGGAGCAGAGAAACAAGGAAAACATGCTGGATACTGGCTTTCCAGGACCAGAAGTGAGAACCACTGCTTTAGCTGCTCTGAGTGCAGCTGATACTTTCCTTGATCACGTCCTGTTTAAACATTTTTGTTAAGACAAAAAAAAAGATGAAAGAAAAACAGGCAAGAACACTTTTTACTATTTATCAGCGGAGAAAAAAACATATTACTGGGACTTAATTTAGTCATCTATGTAACTCAGGGGTCTGCACAGTTTAAAATCCCATTAGTTACATGCTGGTGAAATTACATCTCTGAATCTTACCCATCCCCATGGGGAGGGGTGAGCTGCAGCTGCGGTTGTGCTCAAAAACTATTTGGTGGTTTAAAGGCTGAATAAGGAGCATGGACCTCTGGTGACATTTAGTGTTTGGAGGTGGTAGCTGGAACAGAAGACATTTTCCAGCCATTGGGGTGTTGGTTCACTGTTTACACGTTAAGTGGCCAGCCAGCACCATGTCCAGTGACAAATTGTACAAGATAAGGACTAAGTTCTACTAATAAGTTTAATTTACAACAGTATTTACTGTTAGAACATCTTCTGGACTAAGAATCAGCTGCTTGATTTGTCAAGTCTGCCACTTCACACAATCCCAGCCTCGCTTTGCCGAGCGGAAAGTTTAGCGCAACAGTGCCCTTTAGTGACTGGTAGATGTAAACTTAAACCCAGTGTTGTGCTCAACAAAAGTAATATTTGGTTATTTATTTTTTAATTATAGCCTTTAAAGAGCAAATAGCAGGTTACTTTTTTTTCTAGTTCTTGTAAAATGCTGTCCAAAACATACTTAGAAAATCTTATTATGGATATTTGGTTTAGAAACACACAACAGCAGTGTTCTAGTAAAAAGTTCCTTTCTCTTGTTTCTAACTCTGAACCTCTGACGTAACCAAAGGGAGTTAGAAGCTAGGCTGCCTCAGCTCAGTGTGGAGAATGGCTAGTTTTAGGGTAGAGAGGTCATGTGATCCAGTCAGTGTGTGTGTTTACTAGTGTTGGGTTGTGTTCATGTTGATAAACTAGAGTGTGTGAAGGCTGCACCAACTCCAGCCTGTCTGGACATCGAGTCCACGGGTTTCCAGATCAGAGGAACAGCGCTTCTATCTCTGTGCCTGAGGGTGTTTCTGCAGCTGAAAAGACGGACTTCTGTAGCCTACATCGGTCGGTACCGGGACAGGGAGGTCCGCGCTGGGGCTGCAGAGACCCGTAGTGTGGTCTAAAAAATTAAATGTGGATTTCTGGAGCTCAGATCACCGTCAGAATTGACCACCTGAAGAGATGCATGGCTCAGCGGGCCAGTTGATTTCCGGATCGGAACTGGATTAGAACTGCCATGCCTGGACCACCAGGAGAGGATCATGCACCTCTTTTAAAAATCCCAGCTGGACTGGCTCGCTGGTGTCTGGGTCGGATCCAGCTCACAGAAGCCCACATGAGCTCCAGAACCGGATTGCAGGCATCTCTCTCTAAGCTAAACTAGGTTAGGTGAACGGATATTAACGAGTATGAGACCGCTGACAGACGCTAGTATTAATATTACATTAACTGACCGATACTATTTTACCTGTCTGGTACATGATAGTAATCTGTACTATACTGTGATGTTAGCACACAAGTTAACATGGTTAACTCACAAGCTGCCCCCCGCTGCTTCTCCTTAATCTCTCTACTATGGCTGATGGTTTCTCCCTCTGGTTTGTCTCTGCTCTCTGGGGCATGCAGCAAACTCATAACTTTATGATTCTGGTCCATCCGAAGTAGAATTATTAAACATTTAAAGTTTCCTCTGTCAGAGCCGCATTAGAATCCCTATTTTTCTCTGGATTTAGCTAACAGGACTCCCTCAGCTGATGTCACTTGGTTTGGCAAAAAAATAAAATAAAATAACATTTTTCTCACAAAAATTACTCTAACTCCTACTGCACACTGGAAGCAAAAACGGCGCGGAACGGCAGCAGAAAGGTTTACTCGCGACATTCACTGCACTGTCATGAGCCAAGGTGTGTCCTCCCCGCTATAACAGATCTCTGAGCTTGTTCCAGGTGGGAGAGGTGGAGAGACACCAGCTGTGAGCAATCCACAATCATCAGGTCGGAGATGAAAGGAGGACTGAGACACAACACTACGCCGGATGATACTACGATCTGGGTAGTTCCAACCACCGGTGATTTTTGACCTTAGGTTTTTGTGCTACCTTGTTATTAAAACCGTATTGTTGGATCATTTTTGTTGAACTTTGCCTTGCCTCAGCTTCTCAATCATACCTCCGCTGACATCTGCAATAACCTCCTGGACCACCTCAGGCCACGTCCTCCCACCCCTCACCCTGGAAATCAGGACCCCTTGGCTCAGTATTCCTCCCCAGCTCTCGGTTCCCAGCCACTAGTAAGTCCTGGAGCTTCACATTCCCTCTCAGCAATACCAAGGACTCTTGGTATTGCTGTTCCTGGCGTATCCTCTCACTGGACTTTCCAGTGCACCCTTAGTTCCTGTTTTGATTAATAAATAACTTTTATTCATTTTACATACCTGTTGCATTGTGTTGATTCTGCATAACTTGGGTCAGAGCCCTTCCCCTAAACATGACACACTGAAATGCACACAGGGAGAGTCTCAGCAGCAAAGCGGCTTCTCTGCTGTGCTCCTCGCTCACCTCGTGAGATCACAAAATCCCTTGAGACTTTTACCAACCTCCTCGCAAAATCACAATATCCCTCGAGGCTTCAAAGATTATGATTTGTTTTCGCAATCCCCCATTAAACCAACAATAAAATCACATTTGATATAGCTGTTTTATGTCATATGTGATCTTGTTCCTCTCCATTGCCAGGATGAAAGCCATGAAAACACACCGCTGTACTTCTGGAATGATGCTGTGCGAAAATATTATCATCATCATCATCATCATCACCTTAATTTATAAAAGCACCTTACAGACATATATCATGTCACCAAGGTGCTGCTCAAGACTAAACTAAAAAGTTAAAAACAAAGAATATATAGGAACCCAATAAAAAAAATTAAAACAGCTAAATACAAAACATCAGTTAACACACAGATTTAAAAGCCAGATTATAATAAAGAGTCTTCAGCGCCTTCTTAAAAACCTCTACTGACGTGGAGAGTCGCACTGATAATGGAAGATCATTCCATAATTTTGGGCCTGCTACTGAAAAAGCCCTGTCTCCTCTTGTTTTGAGCATAGTTGCAGGGACTAGAAGCATATGGTGACTCTCTGAGCAGAGCGCACGACTAGGTATATATGGCTGTAGCAAGTCAGATAAATATTCTGGTGCCATCCCATTCAATGCCTTAAAAACCAATAAAACGCACTCTGAAAACGACCGGTAACCAGTGCAGATTTGCCAGGATGGGTGTCACATGATCATATTTCCTTTTCCCTTCTAGGAATCTTGCCACAGTGTTTTGCACAAGCTGAAGACGAGCTACTGTACTCTGTCTCACCCCAATTAAGACAGAGTTACAGTAGTCTAAACGAGAGGTGATAAACGCATGCACAACAGTCTCGAGGTCCTTTCTAGTTAAAAATGACGTCACTTTGGCTAGACGTCGCAAGTGGTAAAAAAAGGATGATACAACTGCACCCACATGTGCATCAAAGGTGAAAGCGTTATCTAATGTCACTCCTAAGTTGACCGCCGAAGAACGTAGGTAGGCATTCATATCCCTACAATCTGGTTTTGATGGCTCTAAATCACGATGTAACCCAAACAGCACTGCCTCAGTTTTGCTTTCATTCAGACATAAAAAATTGTCCGTCAACCATGACTTAACTTCAGTTAGACAGTGCATTAAGGTAATAATGGGATAGTTGCTTCTATAATCCAAGGGTAAGTAAAGTTGGCAATCGTCAGCATACATATGAAATCGAATTCCATACTTCCTCATGATGTCCCCCAGTGGCAATATGTAAATCAAAAACAATAGTGGTCCTAATATTGAACCCTGTGGGACCCCCCCACTGCAGGTGTGTGAATCCAGAACTGAACCCACCCATCCTTACACTTACAGTCCTATCCTTCAAATAAGATCTGAACCAGTCTAAGGCCAGATCAGAGATTCCGACATTATACTCCAAACGATGGGCAACACTTCGTGGTCCACAGTGTCGAACGCAGCTGTAAGGCCCAACAAAACAAGTAGCACAGGATTTCCCCTATCAGTTTCCAACATAATGTCATTTAATACCTTTATCAGTGCCATTTCCATACTATGAAAAGCTTTAAAGCCAGACTGAAAAGTTTCCTTAATGTTAGACTCTTCTAGAAATCCATTAACTGAGTATAGACACATTTTTCCAGAATTTTACTCGGAAAAGGGAGCTTTGAGTTCCGGTAGTTGCAAGGCTGCATACCATCTAACCCAGATCTCTTTAACAGTGGGTTAATAACAGTCTTTTTAAAATCAATTGGGACGTAACCAGAGACAAAACTGCTATTAATAACTTTCAATATTAATGGTGCTATTCCATGAAAGACTTCCTTAAACAGCCGTGGTGGTATGATGTCTTCAGGAGATCCACTCAGTTTAATTATGTCCACCAACTTAACTAAGTCATCAAGGGATACTGGCTGAAAAGACTCTAAATGTCTATCCAAAGGAAATGAGGGAGTTCGCATATTTGCTCTTGACAGTGCAGAACGCAACAATGCCACCTTTTCAATAAAAAATCCAAGAAAACTAGTACACATCTCGTCTGATGGCTGTGCAGGGAAACCATTATCCACATTAAACTGCACATCAAACCAGGCAATCAGTAACATTGGAGTAACATTGGAGCACCACAGGGGACTGTACTCTCACCATTCCTTTTCACCCTGTACACCTCAGACTTCCAGTACAAATCAGAGACCTGTCATCTACAGAAATACTCAGATGACTCTGCAGTTGTCGGGTGTATCAGAGATGGACAGGAAGCTGAGTACAGAGAGCTGGTGGAGCGCTTTGTGGCATGGTGTGGAAACAATAATTTGACCTTGAACGTGAACAAAACAAAGGAGATGATTTTAGACTTCAGAAGAAACAGGGTGGAGTCAAACACTGTTTCCATCATGGGAGAAGAAGTGGAGGTGGTTGAGGAATACAAATACCTTGGAGTTCACCTGGACAACAGACTGGACTGGAGAAAGAACAGCGAAGCCGTTTACAAGAAGGGACACAGCAGACTGCACTTCTTGAGGACGCTTAGGTCCTTCAATGTCTGTAGCAAGATGCTGCAGATCTTCTACAAGTCTGTTGTTGAGAGTGTAATCTCTTCAGCCATCGTCTGTCGGGGTAGCAGCATCAGAAGCAGGGACCTGAAAAGGCTCAACAGCCTAATAAAAAAGTCTGGTTCTGTTCTGGGGACGACTGTGGAACCACTGGAGGAGATAATGAAAAGAAGGATTCTCCAGAGAATCAAGAAAATGATGGACAACACTGAGCATTCTCTTCACAAGACTGTCCGACAACAGAAGAGTGTCTTCAGTCAGAGGCTTCTTCAGTTTCGCTGCAACACTGACCGCTACTGGAGATCCTTCCTGCCAACAGCCATCGTAATATACAATAACTCTTTGATGACTTGATTATCATTATTATTCTGAGCTACTACAGCAATCAATTTCCCTCTGGGATTAATAAAGTATTTTTGAATTTGAATTTGAATTTGAATTTATTACAGCATTAATTGAGGCATTAAGCATTCTAGAGTTGTTACAATTAGAATCGACTAGGTTTGAATTATAGTCAGTCTTTGCCTTTTTAGCAAACTCCTGGTAATTTTTCCAGCTTTCCCTTAGGGCAATCAGGGAGCCATGCAGTTTGTCCTTTTTCCATTTTCTCTCACATCTCCTGCATTCCTGTGATCAAAGCCTACTGGTTGTGCAACGCTGCTCTCTGCAGCCAGCCCCTGGGTCCCTGGGTCAGATCCCACCAGATCCCACTAGGCAGCCACCGGGATCGATCAGGTAGACTCCAAAAATCTTAAACTAACCCTAACTGTTCCATATTCCACCTTTAATCCCTCAATTCAACCTTTCAATCCAACCCTTCAAAGCTAAGTGTCAAACAAGGAGGCATGGGGTTCCATTTTTAAAGTCTTTAGTATGACCCGACTGTGGATTTGAACCCCCGATTTCCCAGTCCCAGAGTGGACACTCATACCACTAGCAACTGATTAGGTTAATAAGTAAAAGAGACTTTAGGTTAATGATTAATCTGAATAGAACATGTCGTACTATTGCTTTAAGTGACTTCTGTGTCTGTGCCTCATGTTGTCAGGGTCATAATAAACTGATAACGGTTTTATTGCTGCTTCAGTCCACTTTTAATGGATGGTTTACAAGATGACTCCCTCTTAGCAGATTTAGGTATTATTTTTATATGAACTTTTCTGTGTAGTTTATTTAAATCTAATCATTTTTCACATATAAACACTCACTGACTTTACTGATGTCACTTAGCTTATGTTATGCAGTAAATGTTTGGATAAATGCAGCTGGACACTGAACTTTACTCACACTAAAGGTCATTTAGGTTTATTTCTCTAATGCTGCAAACATATCAGCTGACTTTTATTTATCGTTTACTTTATAAAAAAGATGATGGCTTTTAAATTTTTATTTAAGAAAAATACATTTTTGTAATTATAGAGAAAATCTGTTTATGAAAACCTTGAGGTTTAACCATGAATTAACCACCAGAAATAATTAAGAAAGGTCAGCAGCACTTTAAGAAAAGTTTACACTAAACTGAAAACGCAAAAGTAAGTGATTAAAAGTTCATACAAGCAAAACGTGACAGGTATATTTTCCAGTTAGATCCCTTTGTTCTACAAACACATGCAGCCACAGACGGATGTTATCTCTGCACCACATCTGAAGTCCTAATCAGTTTGTCATGTGATTACGTTTCTGCTCAGCCCTCCCTGAGGTCATTACTCTACCCCTGCTGCAGCTCCAGGATCCAGCACACACTATGAACTCAACCCCAGAGAAGAACGTCGATCCAAAATCTGTCAAAAGAGACTGGATGCACGGACAGCAAGCTCTGGCTGAAGCGTGACAAATCATTCAGCTGAAGTGTTCCCGGTAAGTTTATTTTATAATAGAGGGGAAAGTAATAAACCAGTAATTACAAAAGAGAGTTTGAAGTTGCAGGAAATCTGATGGTGTGTTTACGCCTGACGGTTTGTTTATGGGGTTAAATCCTAAATTACAACAGTGCAACATAGTAATTTCCAGATGTTCCTGCTGAAAACAAGTCTTTACTTGAAATAAATCAGGCCGCCTTACTGTGAACATCTGTAAAAAAAACTTGTTTCAGGAGGATTAAAATGTATCTCTCAGGGTGCCTTGGTTTTCTTGAGAACACGTTGTACTTTTCAACATTTACACTGTAAATTCCTCTTTAAATGTACTTTATTTAACCCTCTCATAAATACATTTGTATTAAAATGAGTAATATGAACTCTCTTTAGACTTATGTAGGATGCCAAGTGCCTTGTTAGGCTGATATGTGCCGCTTTGCTTTCTGTGAGAACGCACTGAATAGAAACAAACTTTCAAACTTTGCTCTTTAGAAACACAAAAGACAGATTTTCAATCCTCTTTGTAGAAATTCAGTTGTTATTGATAAGTCATGTGTAAATAAGCACAAAGCTTTGAAACCTGAGTAAATAATGTACTGAATGTTCTTGCAAACCTCTAGGGGTTTAATGGAATTTCCACATTGTGGCTGTAATCAGGAAACTGGTACTGAGTAGCAGACAATCTAGAAGTTATGCAAGGGTGGGAATGGATTCCCTTGGCCAAATGAATTGTCTAAAATCTGTTCTGCTGAGATTTTTTTGGTACCCAATAGTGTACTTAACTAAAAACTTTCTTTTGGGGAAAATGTTCTTCTTTATTTTTTATTTTTTTGCACGTTAGAAATACATCCATACATCCTTCCTCTATTTTGCAATCAAAGGTAAAAAATACTCCTGAAGCCAACTTACACATCTGGTTACACAGAACTGTCTGCACCACATCAGAAAATGCTGTTTTTATACGTTTTTGTCTTAAAAGTGCGTAATTAACTCTCTAACAATGAAACATTCACAGCAAACACATCACATGAGGTAACACATCAAATTTGCCGTATTGAAATGAAAATCTGCCTGAATGTCGATGATGTTAACAGGGTCTCAGCAAAGTCTTATGGTACCTATTAAGATTTTACATCTGTAAGTAGGTTTGGTGAATTATTGATGAGATGCCTGTACATAGGGTCCTGGATGGAACATGAGGGAGTGAGGTGGCAGTGTTTCAGTTGCGTCGTAGTGTTTAAGAATCTCAAGCAGAGAGGTCAGGGGTAAATTTATTCAGTACAAATTAATACACAGGTGGTACTTCACTCCGTCCAAACTTTATAGAATGGGAATCAGTACCAGTAATAAATGTTGGAAATGTAGGTCAGATCCAGGGGCATTTCTGCATGCTATTTGGGAATGTGGGAAAGTTTATCCCTTTTGGCAAAAAGTATTGGACAAAATAGGTAGGTGGATTGGTATGTTAATACCCTTGTCACCAAGATTGTGTTTATTAGGGGATCGGTCGGTGTTGCCTGGGGTTTCAAAATATGATTTTGTGGTTATAAAGGTGGGGGTGATTGCAGCGGCCCGAGTTATCCTCAGTGTATGGAAGCAACCATCTCCTCCAGAATATAATAGGTGGGAAGAAAATATGCTGAAAATGGTGGCATATGAAAAATTTTTGGCTAGGATTAATGATGATAGGGAGGGTTTTGACAAATCATGGGGACGGGTTTTTGGCTAAGACGGTTGGAATTTATTTGGTTGGAGCGATCATCTTCAGTTTAATCTTATGCGTACTGCGCTGCATGTTAGTAAGTATTGAAAATAGACCAAAAATACAAAGGTGAATTTATCATGGAATTGGAAGCTGTCCTTTTTATTTTATTTAATTTTTTTCTGTTGTTGTTTTGTTTTTGACTGTTCTGTTTTCGTTTCTATGTTCTCATGTGGTTAAAAGTTAAAAGTAAATAAAGACTTCAATTACAAAAAAAAAAGAATCTCAAGCAGCATTGCAGATGCTTGGAGAAACCCATTTGTAGCATCATGAGTGCCTTGAACACTGAACAAAAATTTTCCTATCATAAAGGTTTTGGAGAATACTGTTGGGCTGTAAACCTTTCTACATGTTTTGATGCGTAAGCTAAAGTGAGGCTACCACTAGGTGTGTTTCCATTGCTGGAACTTCAGGGCAAATTGTGGGAGGGGGAAATTGATGGAGAGATATGATGTACCAGTCCCCCCAGCTGTTGAGTCTCCATTAAATTTTCAGGGCTCTGCACATACGTCAGCATATCGTGACTGCTTGGGCAGTGAGTGATAATCAGTGCCAAAAAGCGTCCACAATAGTATTATAGACACTAAAAGCATTTAGTTTTGGGCCATTCCCATCTGTACCGGGTCGGCCCGGGCCGGGTAGCGTAGGTTGTTTACATATCTGGGTGGCCTGATATTTTTCCGGGCCAACCAAGGCTCATTCTCAGCCCTCTTCTCGAGGGGGTCTGCTTCAGGCCGACCAGGGCCAACACACCCACTGCTGACAGCAAATTCACACCTTCCATTAGAGCAAGCCTCTGATTGGTGGGTAGAATCAGCCCACATGGGCTTAAGACAAGGATGTGTGGTATCAACCGGGCCAGGCTGGGGCCGACTGGGGCTATCCGGCCCGGGCCGACCTGGTACAGATGGGAAAGGCCCGTTTGTCGAAGCATATCTTAGTTTAATCCATTCAGAGAACAAGAGCAGCCGAGTTTTTTACATTGCTGTGTGACACAATAAAGCCCAGGAATTAAAGTAGCTTTCCGGAGTTTTCTACTTTCAGAAATGATGAATGATTTGTCAGAAATCCGTGAAAGTGATTATCCTATCATGTACCGTGATATCACGTAAGCAACATGTCTTTTTTATTTATTTATTTGCTAACCACGCCCCCTGCTCCGCAGAGCTCCGTGCATTAGGAAACTGAGCGCCGACCAGAACTAACCAATAGCGTTAGACTACTGCTTAGATGCTTCAAATGTAAGGAGTACCTCGGCTGATGCAGAGCTGATGAACTTTTCACAGACAAGTGAGTCTCTAAAATATAAATATATGAGAACAAAACATGACATGAGAATAATACTCATAAAATAACATGTTTTAGCTGTTTGTTGGCTACAGAAGCACATTTATCAACAAGAAACGTGAGCGACAGACTTTTTGTGTGATATGCTTGTCAGCCACTAGATGGTGCCATCGGATCAGAGAAATACTCCGGAAAGAGACTTGAGGTCATTGTGGGGAATTTTCCCAAGTTTTCAAGTGTAGAAAATTTAGTGAGGTGATGTGGAGGAAATCCACCGTGTTTTCCGATATTGGAGTTCATTTTTAAATGTGATCGGTGTTTATTTTTTCACTTTCATTCTGCTTTACCAGCAACTCTAAAAGAAAGAATGAAAGAAGAAAGAAAACTATCTCCTATATAGCGCCTCTCAAGATAAAAATCATGACATGCTTCACAAGAACAAAATATTTACAATATAGAAAAAAAGATTTTAAAATATGGTTAAAATTTGAAATAAATAAGCTAAATATTTTGACTAAATAATGTAAGGAAAGGGAAAGACAAAATAAACAGGATAGATGGAAATCAAAGACCTCTTATGATGAATTAAATAAATGGACACAGTGTTCCCTACACCCCCAGCAGGTCCCTGAGGTCCAGTGATCAAAGCCCACTGGTTGTGCAGCACCAGGCTAAAGGCCAAAGGTGACAGATCAGCTGCTGCTGTGGCCCCCAGACTCTGGACCTCTCTCCCCCTGAGCCTGAGATCAGTGGACTCGGTGGACTCCTTTAAAAAGCAGCTGAAGACACTTGTTCAAGCTGGTTTTTGCATGACCTTCATCACCCTCTCCTTGTTCTGCTCTCTCCACCTTCCTCAGGATCCACTGATTTCCCTCTTTCCTATTCACTCTCTCTTTCTTTACATATTTTTATCACAATTGTCTATTTTTTGCTCATTTTAAATATATTTTAAACATTTTCTAAATTCTTTTTTATATTTTAAATTTTTTGTTTTTGTGAAGCGCCCCGTGATTTTTATCTTGAAAGGCGCTTTAGAAAATATCTTTTCTTCTTCTTCTTCTTCTTCAAACTACTGTCTAAAGTATATAAGACACTGTACAAAATTAACTATTCCATAGCAATTCCTATAGAAAAATGGGAGGGGGATCTGTCAGTCACCTTTGACCAGAATTGCTGGTCTCAAATTTGTATACACTGCACAGACAAAATTCCTGACAATTATATCCACTCATTGTGGTCCCGTCCACCTGTTCAGGGATTTTTGTGTAGAGTATGTGAAGACCTGTCAAAGGGTCTGAAATGTGATACCGCAACTTCCCCCTCTTTTTGTTTGCTAGGAAACCTGGATGATGTCCTGATGGAAACCAATTGGTTTGTGTGGCTTTGACTTGCCATATACATCGCAAAAAAACTGTTCTCATGAACTAGAAAAATAAAGATATTCTTTGCATTAACCAGTATATACATCTTTTGTTGGATCTTATTACACTTGAGCCAGCCTCTGCTTCCAATATAAAACAATCTATCTGGGCTCCTTTGATCGGTTCCATCCCATAGCGATGATGGGGGGGTCACTGATATTGTCCTACACAAAGCTGTGGTTGATGTGATGGAAGGTCCAAGTTTGGAGCATGTGGAGGTTTCCTGGGGGAGTCTGGGGGGCTGCTGCCCCACTCTAGTGGTGCTTGGGTGGTCTTGGTGGGTGGGCTTCTGGCGGCCGTGTGTGGGTCCTTGGGAGGTCTTGACGGTGGCCACAGGTCGCTGCCTGATAGCTGAATCGCCTCTAGGTGGGTCTGGGTGAGGGCATGGTGGCTAGGGGTGTGGGGGCAGTCAACCCCAGATGAGTATCTGAGCTGGCCTGGGGATTGGGTCCTGGCTTGTATGCTGCTGGCAGCCTCACCACAAATGCCAGTTATGCAGTTATTTCGGTAGTTATGCTGCAATAGGCCTAGACTGATGGAGGACATACTGATCGCTTTCCACACTCGACTACTTTCTTCTACAATGTGCTCTTTAACTGTGTTATTTCCTGCTATTTCAGCTGCTAACTTTATTTTTTCTCTAAGTCGGTGACTCGATGCAACCTGTTGGGTTCCTCATATAGGAAACTTGTTACTGATTAGCTTAATGAACGGACCTGTATTGGAATGTTTACTTTTTGAAGTGCCTTGAAAAGACTTGTCGCACACACAAACACCCACCCACATATACACACACTCACCCCCCCCCCCCCCCCCCCCAACACACGCACACAACATATATCGAGTAGTGTTGCTATGGCTACATTGATTTCTTAGTAAATATTCTATTTAGTAAGAGATAAACTTTATTGTCTTTATCTTAGTGAACATATCAGAGCTGACTGATGAGATGACTTTCATGCAAGAACATCCTGCAATATATTTTTACAATTCTCCACGTTTGGTACTTTGTGACACTAAACTACAAACCCTTAGTTCATCGTCACTTTGGCAGCTACATTACATGGAGCTGTTCCAGCTGGCTGACATCTGGCTGTTGAGAGATGATCTCACCTTAGTGTTTCCACAATCCACAATGTCAAACATTGACTACATGGCAGGATTTCAATGCAAACCCTCCAAACCTCTCACCAGAGTTCAGGTGAACATGGAGTCATTGTTGTGACATCAGGGACTCTGGTGGAGACACTACCCAAGGATATCTCTGAGGACATTGCTGCTGCTTTTGCGGAACTCTGCCAGAAGGTCATCTGGAGACGCCAAGCCAAGAAACCATCCACCCTTGGAAACAATACTTTACTCTTGGACTGGTTACCCAAGAATGACCTTCTAGGACACCCTAAGACCAAGTTGTTTGTGGCTCATGGAGGCACTAATGGACTCCAAGAGGCCAACAACTATGGTGTCCCCCTTGTTAGGCTGCCCCTCATGTTAAATAATAATAAAAATTTATTTTATTTATAGGTGCCTTTCATGGCACTCAAGGTCACCTTACAGTAAGACAAGAAAGAACACATCATGATAAAACAAAGTAAGATCATCTCAATAAATCAATAAAGATTAAAAAGCAATAAAGCTGTCTGCTGTGACCAGCAAGACAACTTTATGGCATCAGGAGTGGGCAAAGTTCTGGACTATGAAACTGTGAATAGAGAAATATTTCTGGATGCTCTGAAGGAGGTTCTATATAAACCATCCTACAGGCAGAAAATAAAGAAGCTGTCCAATCTGCACAGGGATCAGCCCATGAAACCTCTGAATTGAGCCATCTTCTGGATTGAGTTTGTCATGAGGAAGAAAGGAGCTACACATTCGAAGACTGAGTCCTTACAAGATGTCCACTATCCAGTATTACTCCATCGACGTTCTAGCATTCATATTAATAGTTATACTTGCAGCAAAATCAAGTTTTGTTTCTGTTTTGAAGTTTCTCTGGAGTAGATTGTGTTAAAGAGGAAACATTTTGTGTCCAAATTTAGTAAAAGTTTACAAATTTGCATGCATTTCAATCAGAGCAGTAGTCAAGAAATCTAGACAAACTGTTAAAGTAGCAAAATATTTTGCTCAGCAGGTTTTCAAATATTTAGAATGGCTTGCAAGGCTATCAGAGTAGCATAAAATTGTTTATTTAGATTGTTGTTCACTAAATGATCTACCATGTTGTGCACAAATTGAACTTTTGGAATCACTTCATTTACAAAAATATTAGCAAGTAAAACTGATTTTGTTGTTTCTTTGGAGCCGTACCGAGTGAATTCCATCTTTCATTTCTTTTTAAATCACAGAAATGGTTTAATTACCTGCAACGTTTCGTTTGCGGCTGCAAACATCATCAGGCTGACGCCGATGGTGGCGTCACTTCCTTCGTTTATCCGCGGGCAGCAGATAAAGGGATTTTTGACTTTTTACTTGAGGGTTACACACATGCGTTGCTCTTTCCACAGATGCATGATCTTTAAGGTGCATTTCATCATAAAGCTGACTAATCAGGCTTTTTAATTTTCATCATAAAGTTGACTAATCAGGCTTTTTAATAAAATACAATCTATTGCAAAAAAGCCTGGTGTACTGTAAATGATTGACCCAATTTTTCTTTAAAATGTTCAATAAGATGTGATCATTCCATATAAATATGAAAAATCAATCTGATTGACCTTTGAATGTTTAATCAGAAGATTTTAGTGTTCTTTACTTATTCAGGGACCATAAACACACTTCGTATTAATTCAGAGTCATACTGTCCCGGATGAGCCCCCATTTATGTTACGTCCCCGACATGAAATGGTAAAATGTGAAGGATGGGGATAACATAAAAACTGGCGGAGGAGTTTAAAAGTGGTTTATTTGTACAAAAAGGTACAAATATAATAAATAAATAAATATCATTTTTATATAATTTATAAAAATGAATTTTTTTCTTTTCCCTAAACTAATGATTAAACATGACAAGGTGTGAATAATGATATGTAATGTAATGGATATAAAGTGATTTAATGTGATGTGTGGAATGCTGGAATGGAAGCTAGATGTTCTGCAAAACCTTTCCTGGGTATCTGAGAATTTGTTAAGTAAGGGTTGTAAAAGAATTAGGCTGTTTGTTAATTACAGATTTTTTTACAAAACCATCTGAAGCAATCAGTGTTGAATCTACGCACCCTTTGTGTGGAGATTCTCATGCGATTCGGTGGGTCAAGAGGTCGTGCTGGTCACTGCCAGTGGAGTTTGACCTCTGATATCAGGAACCCATAGATTAGCTCCGATAGGACCCGTCTAGTCTGAGATCTCTCCAGATGACGACAGGAAGCTGGAATGCTTGTTTGCATCTAAGTCTGTTTGTTTGGCTCTTAGAAGAGCCGTTTTGTCACCCGCAGCGTTGCAGAAAGGCTTTGACCTGAGGTCAAAAGATGGGATGGTTTAAAAATTGCTGTTCCCAAAGTGGCCAGCTCGAGAGTCGGCGAGAAATCAGGAAGTAATTCTTGTTTTATTAAACCCATTGTTTATAAATTTGGCAAATCAGAATTTGACATGTTTGAAGGCTTTACCAAAACATTTCTCAGACGTCACGCCTTCCTTCAGCTACTCAGAGAGGTTAACTCTTTGTGGGAAAGAGAATGTTTTAAAACACTTATGTGAAGTGAATGTTAACAATTAACTTATTATAATGTGTATGAGTGTAAATATTGATTAACTTGTTAAATCAAACACATACTGATCTGGTGTAGATCCGATCTGAAATGGATCATTGCAGGAACAACATTCATTTTAAAGGCATCATTGATTTAGGCACAGATTATTCAAACATTTGATTTAAACATCTTGCTCATTCAACACATATTATTCCAATTTATAACCTGTAAAGTTATTTATAATTCAAGATGACTTTTCCTCAGAGTGAAAGTGCAGCAGTCTGCATGAGTCCTGGAGTGAGAATGTTTTGTCTTCTTGCAGCAGCAAGAACTGGGGCAGTCTTGTTTTGGATTTGGGGCCAAACAGATGTTGTTTTCATGTCTGCAAATGAAAGGTTATTTTCAGGTCAATTTGTAGGGGAAAATTTGACCACTTGGTACGTTACACTGGTGATAATAAATAACGAATCAAGCATAAATGTTCTTACTTTTTATGCTAAGTTTATTTTCAAGATTAGGAAATAGACCTGCTGTATTGAAGTAAATCTGAGTCTTTTAGCAACTTGTTGATTTAACCATCTAAAATTTTTTTGTCTTAAATAACATCCCACTTATTTTAAAAGTGAGGTGGCAAAAAACAACTTCCAGTTGTCACATTCGTTTAATTTCTCTTAGCATATTAGAAATCAATTATCATGAATATTTGTCATGTCATTAGACTGACTGAATTTGTTAAATTAGCCAAAAGTTAAGTTACTTACTTTTTTAAACACACACACGTTTAAACCGAAGTCATTTTAGAAACAGACAGATCTAACACATCTTTTGTCAATCTCTTTCAGACATGTGCCAACCAGCCCTGCTGACACTTGCAGTCTTGCTCTGCACATCACCCTTGGTATATGGAGGAAAGGTTTTGGTGTTTCCCGTTGATGGAAGCCACTGGGTCAACATGAATGTTATTATCCAAGCACTTCACGCCAGAGGTCATGAAATCACAGTGTTACGCCCATCTGACACCTGGTATATCAAGGAAGACTCTCCTCACTACAAAGCAATCACCATTAATTCCTCAGCTGGATTTGACAAGGAACACTTTGGTTCTTATGTTATGCAAACAATAAACATGCGACGCAACGGCTCGTCAATTTGGTCTCGCATTTCTTTGGAATATGACCTAGTAAGACATTTCGATCTCATGACCAAGCAGGTGCTTCAAATGGTAGAAGACATTTTTGAGAACACAAAATTCATGCAGAGCCTTCAAGATGCAAACTATGATGTTCTCCTTACTGACCCTGCAATTGGTGGTGGTGTGCTTTTGGGCCATCGTTTGGGTCTTCCACTTGTCTTTAATGTTAGATGGACCATTCAGGGTGAGGGGCATCAAGCAATTGCACCATCGCCACTTTCATATGTCCCAATATCAGGATCAGAGCTGACTGATAAAATGACTTTTATGCAAAGGGTCAAGAACATTATTTACTATGTTTTTACATGTTTGCAAATTTTATATATTACAGAACCAAACTACCCTCCCTTTGTTCATCGTTACTTTGGCAGTGATGTACATTACATGGAGCTGTTTCAGGCAGCTGACATCTGGCTGATGAGAAATGACTTCACCTTTGAGTTTCCGCGACCCACAATGCCAAACATTGTCTACATGGCAGGATTTCAGTGCAAACCCTCCAAACCTCTCCCCAAAGAGTTGGAAGATTTTGTACAGGGATCTGGAGAACATGGGGTTATTGTCATGACATTAGGGACTCTGGTGGAAAAACTTCCTGATGATCTTGATGAGGAAATTGCTGCTGCTTTTGCAAACCTTCCCCAGAGGGTCATCTGGAGACACCAAGGCAAGAAACCATCCACCCTTGGAAACAATACTTTACTCTTGGACTGGTTACCCCAGAATGACCTCCTAGGACACCCTAAGACCAAGTTGTTTGTGGCTCATGGAGGTACTAATGGACTGCAGGAGGCCATCTACCATGGTGTCCCCCTGGTTGGGCTGCCTCTCTTGTTTGACCAACCAGATAATTTCTTTAGGATGGAATCAAGAGGTGTGGCCAAAGTCTTGGACATTGCAACAGTGAATAAAGAAATCTTCTTGGATGCTCTAAAAGAAGTTCTATATGAACCTTCCTACAGACAGAAGATGAAAGAGTTGTCCAGTCTTCACAGGGATCAGCCCATGAAACCCCTGGATCGAGCCATCTTCTGGATCGAGTTTGTCATGAGGCACAAAGGAGCTGCACATCTGCGGACAGAGTCCTACAAAATGTCCACCCTCCAGTACTACTCCATTGATGTTTTAATATTCATCTTGGCAGTTATAGCTGTAGCATTAACAGTTTTTACTTTCGTTATGAATTGTCTCTGGAGAAGGCTATACTATAGAGGAAAGATCAAAAACGAATGAAGTTCTGGTATACATACAACTCCTAAAACTGGCATTCAGCTTCATGGTGTTTTTCATTGTTCAAGTGTACTTCACAGAAGACTGTAGGGCGCAGTGCGAGTATTGAGACTGGGTCAGAGATAGTTGCAGTTGTTTCTTTATTCTTGCATTTGAAAACCATTGCGCTGAACAGAATAAAACATAAAAATTATTCATATTCCTAGACATACATGATAAGCATAGTTTTTGATACATTCTATTATGAACATTTTTTTTTCAATTAATTCATTTGTTGCTTTGTTTTTTATCTGTGGTCAAACACTTACAGATATGCGTCTGTAATTATAAAGGATGGAAAATTGAAAATTATATCTTTTATGTTGACTAAATAATTCAGGATCATGTTTATGTCAGAGAACATTAGGATACAAACTAATACAGGACATTAGGATTAGTCGAAATGTACCTATTGTGCGAATGTATGAAAGAGATGATTGTAACTTATGTTTGACATGTTTTTAAATAAAGTTCATCAAATCAAGGTTGACCACAAGTTTGACAATTGATGCTCTGTGATGAAAAGCTGGTCCTTAAATAACACTTTCTTAGGAGGTAGAGCTGGCTGTCCAGTAATTGGAAGGTTGCAGGTTGGATCCCAGCTCCGACCAGAGAATGTTGCTATTGAGCCCATGATATAAGGTATAACTGACAATCAGAATAAGGATGAAACCTCATTCAATACTTACGCAGAAGCAATCCCAAGGGAAGTATATAAATAGAAAACAACAGGGAACCTAGCACTGATTCCTGCGGCACTCTGCACGCCAGTGGTATAGCTGAGGATGAACAAGTGCCCATGCCCATGCTCATACAGAAAGACCTACTTGTGAGACACAGTAAGATATCATTCATTGAAGAGCAACCCAACTCATTGCTTTAATCTGTCCAACAGAACCTGGTGATCCACTGTGTCAAATGCAGCAGTGAGATCCAACAGCAGAATGGGAGGTTTGAGGTAGGTCTGTAACTGGAAAACAGGTCAAAGTCCAACCCCTATTTCTTTAGCAGTGGTCTAACTACCACATTTAAAACCAAACGAAACCGGACTTCCGGTTTAACGATGCAAGGATAGGACGCATATTTAGCTTGCACTCCCAGACATCCATCTAAACCCTCTGAACTCGAAGAGTTAACTCATCAACGCGACAGGAAAAATATCGGAGAAGATATTAACTTTGAGCCACAAGCTGTAAGTAAAAATGCCAAAAACCCAAGATAGGAGTGGCACAACGACGAAAGCTACAAATGCTAAAGGACAGATGGGCAACATGGAGGAAGCGGCGGCCTTGGCTAAAGCAGGAGCGAAAACAGACCTGAACGCTATAATAGCGGCCATAGCGGAGCTAAAGTCCGAACTGAAAGGCGATAATGTACGACTGGGCCAGGAAATCAACCAAATGAGAGAAGAACTAAATAGAAAACTAGACAATATGACGAAGGAAATGCAAAGCCTGGCAGGCCGAGTGAAAGTGGCGGAGATATGGGTACAACAGGCAGTGGACTAGTCCTTCCATGCAAACGAAGCACTTTGCAAATACATGGAGCAACTGAAAGTCCTGCAGCAGAAGTTCACGGACCTGGAGTTGCGGTCGCGGAGGAATAACATCTGTATCTTCGGGGTACCAGAAGGGGTAGAGGGAGATTCCCTACCGTTATTCCTGAAAGAATTCCTCCAGCGCGAGCTGCAGCTACCCCAGGACATGGAGCTAAACATCCAGCAGGCACACCGGTCACTAGGCCGCAAACCACAACCCGATGAGACACCAAGACAGATTATAGTACACTTCCAAGAATTCACTACGAAAGAAACTGAGGTGAGGGAAGCTTGGAAAATGAGAAAAATCCAACTAGGGAATAAACCAGTTTATTTCAGCCATGACTATGCGGCTGAGATCGTGAAAAAACGCAGTGAGTACAACTGCATCAAGAAAGCACTAAAAGAAAAGGGGATTGGCTTTCAAACCCCTATACAAGTATCTGGATCCACTGGGAGTTGGGGACCCGCACCTACAGCAGCACACAGCAGGCGAGGCAGGAGCTGCAGACGCAAGGCCTCCCCGTGGCAGGGACGGAGCCGCTGGCCAGGGCAGAGGACGACATGGAGGGACGATTCCGGGAGCTGATCGGATGGAGCTGGGAGAGTGAAGGGCCCATCGCCCTCACCACAGCTCACAGGGCCCGAAAGAAGCTTCAGAGTTTTCAGAGAAGCCCTGCTGGAGCCACTGATTCTGGCAAATAAATATATGAAGTGGAGGATCGGTTTACTTAGAGGGAGATCGGCATAGAGGTTTGTTTGAAGATTTTTAGGCCATATTCAATATAAATATATGTGGGAACTTTGAACTGTTAAGACTACAAATGATGCGTTGGACTTATAGAATGGTATTGAGGTACTCGGTAACCATTTCTAGCTTTGGGCCCACTCTTAAAGGGAGGCTATACCCACGACCTTCCAACGGGGTCTATGTAGAGGGGTTAGAGCACCCCCTACTGATGGAAGTACACCTTCGTTCTGGTTTTATTCATTTTGTTTGTGAAGTTCATATGTTCAAAGGGGAAGCTTACATCCTTTTCCCCTGAAAGTAGCCGATGGTCTCAGATAAGGTTAAAGTGGTATCCTTAAATGTTAATGGACTGGGTAACCCAATAAAAAGAAGAAAGGTACTCAGCAGAGTAAAGAAAGAAGTGGCACAAATTGTGTTCCTACAGGAAACGCACCTATCAAAACATGAACATGAAAAATAAAAAAAGTTTGGGTTTTCTAATTGTTCCTTTAGCTCATGTAAAAATAATCGTAAAAGAGCTATTCTGATTCCCCCATCAGTTAATTTTGAATTAATAAAAGAGACCCACAACAAAGAAGGTAGATTTGTAATAGCCAAAGGGAAAATTGATAACATCCTAATAACTTTTGTATGTCCCTCCTGAATGTGATGCAAAATTTGTCCGTTTATTAGTAGATGCAGTAATCTCAAAAAGTGAGGGAATTTTAGTATGCGCAGCAGATTGGAATGCAATACTAAATAAATCAATAGATACAACAAGCTTAAAAGTATATCAAAGGCAAAGATCAAGAACACTCAATAAATTACTAAAAGAGTCAGAGCTAATTGATGTGTGGAGAGACATGCACAAACTTGAAAAAGATTTCACACATTAATCAGGTTTACTCGAGATCCCGGCTACTCATCAACCTGACCTCAACTATCTCTCACCTAATGTCTCCACTGTAATTTCCAACCTTGGAGTTAAAATAGACCAGGCTCTGAAGATGGATGCTCAGGTCAATAACACAGTTAAATCATGTTTTTACCACCTCAGGCGTATCTCTAAACTTAAGCACATCCTGAGTGTCCGTCTTCTCAAATCAGTAGTCCACACTTTCATCACTTCACGGCTGGATTACTCCAACTCCTGCTTATACGGCATCAGTAAAGCAGCTCAATCTAGACTTCAGCTAGTCCAGAATTCAGCAGCTAGGTTCCTGACTGGAGTTGACAGAAGACAGCACATTACACCAATTCTAAAATCTCTCCACTGGTTGCCCGTTCATCTCAGGATCAATTTCAAAATCATGCTGCTCACTTATAAATCCCTGAACAGTCAAGCTCCTCCATATCTGTGTCAACTCGTCCATTACTACAATCCGCCTCGTGCTCTCAGGTCTGAGGATAAGCTCCTCCTAGCTCTTCCAAACGCACGTCTGAAAAGCCGTGGAGAAAGGGCTTTCTCTGTCTGTGCTCCCAAGCTGTGGAATGCATTACCACTACTAGTGAGGCTAGCACCAACAATTAGCATTTTTAAATCTCGCATGAAAACTCACTACTTCAACCTTGCATATAATACATAATCATGGACCACTTTCGACATCTGCATTCTTTCTACAATAGAATGCACAATAATTAACATCTGTATTACTGTGGTTCTTTCATATGTTTTTATCTGTTGTTTCACATTCCTTTGTGTTTTTAGTGTTTTACGACTGTTAGTTCGAGTATTTTCTTGTTTTCATTTTTTCTTATAAACTATGCTTTAAATGTCATTCTGAACGTGTTAATTAACTGTAATCTTTTAATGTACAGCGCCTTGTCTGGTTGTAATGCCATGTTGAATGCGCTTTATAAATAAAATGGTATGGTATGGTATGGAGATTAGACTTCTTCTTCATGAACTCTATAGATAGACACAGAGTGATTAACTGTGAAATTGGGACATTGGATGTTTCAGACCATAATATTATAAGTCTTACCCTTCACTTGAGAACAGGGGTAGGAAACACTACTTGGAGACTAAATGTAAGTATACTTAATGATAAGAATCAGACTAAAGAGATTAATAAAGAAATTGAAGAGTGTATGAGAGAAAACAGCACTGTGGAGGTTGAGCCAAGTATAATATGGGATACAATAAAAGCAGTAATGAGAGGGAAGCTTATAGCAAGAACAGCCTACCTAAATAAGATAAAGAAACAAAAATATGAGGAATCCATCAAATTATTAAGGAATTTAGAAAGAACACAGTCAAAGAAAGCAGACGAAAACCATCTAAATCAGAGAAAAGACGTTAAGAAACAAGTTGACGAAATATTACAAGGAGAAATAGAGAAAAACTTAAGATTTACTAAACAAACATTCTACAAATCAGGATCTAAAGCAACAAAATTTAGCTAAACGTTTGAAAACCCAGCAAAAGCGAAATTTGATACACAAGAAATCCAATGAACAATAAACTGCTACTTGAACCAGAGGAAATATCAAAAAGTTTTAAAGACTATTAATCAAAACTCTACTCCCAACCACAGGAAAGTAATGAAAGTCTGATTATAGAGTACTTAAAAGATTTAAACTTACCCTCACTGCAAAAGGAACAAACGATGCCTTAAGTAAACTAATCACAACGGAGGAACTAGAAAAAGCTATAAACAGACTGAAATTAAACAAATCCCCAGGAAATGACGGCTTTCCTAGTGAGTGGTATAAAACATTTAAGACAACTTTAACCCCTATAATGTTGGACTCTTTTAATTGGACATTGAATATTGCAATAATACCACCCTCTTGGAAAGAGGCAATGATTTCGTGTTGCCAAAGGAGGGAAAAAACAAGGAACGTTGTGATTCTCATCGTCCAATCTCTGTACTAAACGTGGATTACAAACTGTTTACATCCATCCTATCCAAACGTTTAGAGCAATATCTACCCAAATTGATTCACGATAACCAAACTGGATTTATAAAGGGGAGACGAATGCAAGATAGCATTAGGCGAACTTTAAATATAGTGGAACAATGTCATAATCAAAATATATCACTAGCACCAATTAGTTTTGACGCTGAAAAAGCATTCGACAGGGTCAGTTGGAATTTCTTGCTTAAAGTACTTGAGAGATTTGGCTTTTGTACTAAAATATTAAAATGCATAAAGCCACTATATAGAGATCAAACAGCAATGGACTCTTGTCGGAAAGATTTCAGATATTTTGAGGGCACCCGACAGGGATGCTGTCTCAGTCCCACTTTATTTGCTATTTATATCGAACCCCAGCTCAAAAAATTAGACAATGATGAAACTGATGAAAGGAATTAAAAGAACTCACTGTATGGAGAGGAGAAGTAGGGCTTCCCAGTGCTATTATGCTCTTCTGTCCTTTTATGCTGAGGAAATGAAGGACTGTAGAAGCAACAATAACAGTAAGATCAAAATAAAGTAGTAAAGAGATTTAAGGGAAAAAACTCCCCATATTCACACATTTTTTACAAAGGAGACGAATACTCCATCTTGTAAATTAATGTTGATTCTTTTTGTATAAATTAAAATTTGAAGGAATTTGAAAAAATTAAATAAACACACCTATTTGGTTGGACCCTCTCTTCCTCCTCCTCCTCACTCTTCTGGTGACATTGTGGGCCGCCAGTGGTGCAGAAAGCCTCTTCCAGGAAACTGATGGGCAGCGTCCTGTTAGCAGGTCGATGGATCTGAGCTCCACTGCACCGTGTCAGAGCCGAGTTGCTGCCCACGTGGTGGTGAACCAGGGCTGGGACAGAATCAAAAGTCTTGTGCTCCAGGCTGAACTGGACCCGGGTGAACGTCTCACTAGACTGAACCACAGTCTTCCTGATGAGGAAGTGGAGAATCTTTTGCTCCCAGTGGCAGGTAAGAACAAAGTCTCCAGGACTGGACTGAGAGTCTCTGATGAGGAAATCGCCTTGGTTCGCCACAAGACTCTCAGACACCTGCAGAGACATCTCATCCATTTTATCAAAATTATTAGCAAATTAACAAACAAAAGAAATTAGAATTTCTTGACGTTATACATCAAGATTTAGGTACACAAATCAAAGCAGTTCTGACTGACAAGCACCAGATTGGTGACTGAATTATGGAGACTTAAGATTTTTGAATATCTGATTCTTAAGTGTCATAACCTAACATAAAATTGTATAAATATTACAGAAATGTATTCAAAAAGCTTTTAAGTCTCAAATTAGGTTTGATTATTGCTCCCTCTTGTGGCCAAGCTGATGCACAACATTTCTGCACAAGTTGTAAACTCCAATAATATTTTTATTTTGGCAACTGATAATCAAGGAAAATGCAGCTCCAAGGTGGATACATTATTTTTTATCAGGCTCTAGATAAATAAATATTACCGTTATAAACTTTTGTAATATTTTGGCATGATGGTAAAACACAAAACAATTCTTTGGGGGCAGATCTGTGGTCCCTCACACTCTCTATTGGACGTTCCTATAGAGAAACCTTCCAAAAACAAGCGCGTGTACACACACAGGTGCTCACATGGTGCTCTCAAAAGTATGGGCTTGGGCACGTTCAACACTTGTCTCAAGGCTGTCGTTGACACTAAATGCACTATGATTTATTATTGTGTGATTGTTCAGTTAAACAATGTTGATTTTATATTTCATCATCACATTGACGCAGTGATAGCTTGCTCCTGATGTATTGTTGTGTGTCCCATTTTTTTCTGCTCTTCTCTTTCTGCAGGTCTAGAAGCAGACTCTTGTTCATTATTGTTTATTTTTGTGGACCCCCCCCCCCCCCCCCCCTTCCCACCATTTGTCTTTTCCTTTCTCTTTCACCTCTGTCTCCGTGTCTGGTCGGAATTACAAAGCATTCAAAAACAAGTATCAGGCGTGACATTTAAAGCAGATGCTTTGATGCTCCACCTGAGAGTAAATCTGTAAGGCTTGTCACCAGCATTCAGACATCAATTCTGCTTGCTTCACAGCCAGACAGGACACGGTTAAAAAACACACACACACACACAAAACAATTTAACATTTTTTAATTTGAACCCTTTAAAGCTCACTCACTAAAATAGTCAGAAGTTGAACATTCTACACATTGATTGCTACTTGGTACTAATAAAAAAAACTTTTTCCATTTTTTTTCTCAATTACGCTCACTTGCATTATTTTTATACTTTATAAAGAGTTTTACAACTTTGTTCCGTTTTTATATATTTTTCAGAGTACCTTAAAAACACGTTGTATTTTTATTGTTTTAAAATATTTTAAAAAAATTTTACTTCCTCCTTTTTTAATTTTCAGAAACTTTATTTTAACTCTCAAACAATGTCAACAATGTCTAATGTTTCTTTTTTTGTTACCTTTTCTACAATTTGTTTTTACAATTAATTTTTTCATTTTATTTTTAAAGTTTCACGTTCATGCTGTAAATTAAGATAAATTAAAATTACATTAAAGCAAAGGGTTAAATGTGGTAACTTGAGAGTTATTAACAAATAAAAAATGCTATTTCATTTTTTAAGTCTCTGTGCTAATGTACCTACCTTCATATAACTTGATAAAATACCGACTAATAACCAAACCACGAGAACATGCGGCAGAGTTTAGTTTAATGCACCTTCAACATGAAGATAATACATTTGACTAATAACTACAGTGATATTAACCCTTTTTTGAATTAAGTCAGAATAAAAGATGGAAATATAACTGGTTTGCGGTTAGAAATTCAAGTATTTTTTACATAAGCTTTTAACTGATAATTAATTTAAAAAGACAGTCCCCTATATTCATCATTCATAGATTTATGTGTATTTTTTAGAAGGAATAATTTTACACATTAAAATGTTCTTAAACATTAGAACAGTTCTGACCTTGTGTACGAACAGCATCTAGTGGTAGAATGAGGGAACCACAATAAAAAACGTCATCCACGCATGTTTCTCATCCACAAATTTTTTTTATACAATAAGTAAGGATGTCTGTGGAGAAACAGCTTCATCACATAACTGCTGTTAGAACTAGAGGCTAACGGACACTGGATTTTCTCTTGCTGATACCGATGCGGATGTTTAGAGGTCATGGTCATGGGGATTTCTATTTAAAGTACTGAAAAGATTTTAGCTATGTGATAAGTTTATTCAATGCCTAAGAATGGTTTATTTGTCACCAACAGCAAGGATCAAAATTAACGGAAGCCTCTCAAATCGGATAACTCTAAAATGTGGCTGTAGACAGGGTTGCCCATTAAGCCCGCTGCTCTTTAATTTATTTATCGAACTATTGGCTCTGTGCATCAGCGAAGAGGCCCAATTGAAGGGGGTTACAATAGGGAATGTGGAAAGTAAAATGTGCTTGTATGCAGACGACATGTTGGTAATGGTGGGGAACCCAGAAGAGGGAATTCCGCTGCTCATGGGAATCCTGGAAGAATATGGCGGACCGTCTGGTTATAGAATGAACATGAAAAAAACTCTAATCTATAGGAGCGTCCAACAGAGAGTGTGAGGGACCACAGATCCGCCCCCCAAAGATGCGCAGGAGACGGGGGGAGCTCCAAGTCCCAGAGATCCAGGCGCTGCCCCAGAACACAGGAACCCCAAGGAGACTGCAACCAGGAAGGCCCCCGCACCCCCCCGAGAGGCACAGAGGATTGCCCCGGGGGGCCACAACCAGCAGCCGGCAGAGTCCCGGGAGATATCAGCGGCAAGCCCACAGGCCCGCCCGCAGCCTCACACACAGGTGCTCATATGGTGCTCTCAAAATTATGGGCTTGGGAACGTTAAACACAGGTCTTAAGACTATGGTGGGCACTTAATGCACTGTGATTTATTATCGTGATTCTTCAGTTAAGCGATGTTGATTATATATTTTCTTCATCAAGTTGACGCAGTGATAGTTAGATCTTGTTGTATTGTTGTTGTGTCCCTTTTTTTGTGTCTTTTTCTGCAGGTCTAGAAGCAGACTCTTGTTCATTGTTTATTTTTGTGGAACACCCCCCCCCCCCCCTCTCTCTCCCCACCTTTTCTTTTCCTTTCTCTTTCACCTCTGTCTCCGTGTCTGGTCGGAATTACAATGCATTCAACAACAATAACAATAAAGTTTTAAGTATCAGGCGTGACATTAAAAGCAAACGCTTTGATGCTCCACCTGAGAGTAAATCTGTAAGGCTTGTTACCAGCATTCAGACATCAATTCTGCTTGCTTCATAGCCAGACAGGACACGGTAAAAAAAAATAAAAAATAAAAAAACTCTAATCTTGAAGTTCTTGTTTGATCCCTCCAATCAATTGGTTGCTAGATACAGATTCAGATGGCATCAATCGCACATGGAGTATTTGGGCATCCTGTTGACAAAAGGTCTTGCATTGTTATATGAAGTTAATTACAATCGGGTGAACAAGAAAATATATGATGATCTTGAAAGGTGGGGTCTGCTTCCCCTCGATCTGGGCAGCAGAGTTAGAGCGATAAAGATAAATGTTCTCCCAAAATTTCTATATTAGTTTGCAGCACTTCCTGTGGAGGTCCCAACAAAAAAATTCAGGGAATGGGACATGCATTGTTTGAGATTCATATGGAGCAATAAAAGGCAGAGAGGGAGGTATGCAACACTGCAGCCGCCTGGGGAGGGGGGGGGGGTGTATGGCCCTGCCATACTTTGAGTATAATTACTTGACGGCCCAGATCAGACCCCAAGTGTGCTGGTGTAACTCCAAGTATGAGGCAAAATGGAAGGACATTGAGCTTTCCTTAATGGATTTCCCAATACATTCTGTTCTGGGGTCTCTAGAGAGTTTGCCACAGGTATATCAGTTGCAGAATTCCTGTGTAAGTTTTTCCCTGAAAAAATGGGTAAAGGTGGTCAAAAGATTCTGTCTTTGTAAGGACGTGGGGTTTCTGGGTTGGCCGGCGTACCTCCCGGGCTTCCTCCCAGCACGGTTGGACCATAAATTTAGGGAGTGGTCCAGGCATGGAATCACTGCCATCTGCAAGATAATTAAGCATGGGTAACTGATCAATTTTGAGGACATGTGTCAGATTTATGAGGTCGGTAGAGAAGACTTCTACCGTTACTTACAGGTTCGGAGCTTTCTCCGGAGGGAAATTAGAATGCCCGACTCTGAGGCAGCTAATGGGGTGATTCAAATATTCATGGATGCATATGGAGAGAAGATTATAGGAGGTACCATAGGGAAACTGTACAGAAGTTTTACTTCTATGAAAGAACTCAACAAGATATGTCAGCCACTGATGGGAAAAAGAAGCAGGTGTAAAAATTTCAGAAGAAGCTTGGTCACAGATGTGGAGGAATGTGTTATACACCACAAACTCCCTAACATGGCGAGATTTTGGATGGAAGAATTTAATTCAATTTTTCATTGCACCAAAGCAGAAATCCAAGAAAAGTGGTTCATGCGCTTCGTGCTGGAGAGAGTGTGGAGAGGTTGCCGCAGGTTGCTTCCACATCTTCTGGTCGTGTCCTAAGCTAAAGACCTTTTGGGAGGAAATTAAACAAATGGTGGTGGAGGTGCTTGGAGGGACACTGGACTTCTCCTTTAGTACCATGTACCTTGGGAAAATCCATTAGGGCGCAAAAGGAAGAGACCCATGCCAAATGAAAATAATCTTGGTCGCATGCAAAAAGGCAATTACTAAATGTTGGCTGCAGACAAGCCCCCCCCCCCCCCCCCCCCCCCCCCCCCCCACACACACACACACACACACACACACACACACACACGGAAGCTGGTCATAAACATGATTAACACATGGAAATGATGACCTTCTCACTGCGGCTGCAGAAGGAGAAAGGAGAGACTTTGTGAAAGATAGGAGCATTATACCTTAATAGACTAAAAGACTGCTATCTGTGGGCTGTGAAAAAATAGCCACTATTCTGTTTGGATTGTTGACGCACCTAAGTAAGTCTGCATTATGTGCAAGAAACAAGATGATGTGTAACCTGAAATATGGGAACAGATGTAAAAATGTGTTAGTTTTCCTTACCCTCGTTAGTTCTGTGAGTCAAATACACTGAAAATTAATAAAGAGAAAGTAAAAAATAAAAAATTAAATAAAAAAGAAACCAAAGAAGACCAGCTGCCTTCCTTTGAACCCTTTGGATTACCATGACCTGGATGACCGAGAACCTTCACCAGCATACTTCACTGTATCATTTACATCAGGGCTTTCTGGGGAGTTCTGCATCAGGTTCAACTGTCATTTCACTGTTTTCTACAAAAACCTCTGAGCAAGTGTTTTCTCCACAAAAATAAAGAATGAGTAGAAGTTATTAAAAAGTTGTTTGTCAGCATTCAGGTTTCATGAAACAAGTAAAACAGAAAGCCGTTGTCCGCCTAGTGGAGGAAGGCTGATGGTCTGGAGTCACCGAGTCCAGCGTGAACGCCTAAGGATTTCAAACGTTTCTTGTTTTGAGGCATTTTTAGGTTTTATAAAAAAGGTCAGATACGTTTTTATATTCTATTGTTTAAAATCAAACATAAAGAAAACACTTGATAACAAGGGTAAATATGTCATGGCTCCCATCTTTCTACCTTCATTCAGCACACCTGGTCCCCTCATCAAGCTACAGCCAAGACCTGTTTTCCCTAGCAACCTCAGTCAGCCCCTCATCAACTCCACTCATCTCACCTGTTCCTGTCATCAGCTTCATCCACTTCACCTGCTCCTGTCTCCTCAGCTCATCACACACACCTGCTTCCCCTGCTATATATTCACCAGCCAGTCACCAGTTCACTGCCAGATTATTGAAAGCTTTTTGCAAGTAAATCTTCCAGCCATCCACCCAGCCTGATCTCTGCCTCCGGACCTCGTTTTTTCTCCTGACCCCAGCCTAGTACTCTGCCTGCCACCACGACCTTCGCCTGTCCTCTACCACGTCTACCGCCTGTTCCCTGTTTCTGCATGTCCGATCTGGGTTTGACCCTCACCTCCTCTTCGACTCTGTCTCCAGCCTCGCCCACCTCTGGTAACTCTGCATCTAATAAAGACTTTTTTATCTACTTTTATTGTGTTTGGTGTCCTCAAGGGTCTTTTGAAGTTCTGGTCGTGACAGAATGTCTTTCTTTTTCTAAGGAATGACCCCAAAAGCTTTCATTATGTTGAAAAAGGAAATTCATTAGTATTTTGTGTAAAACAGGAACAAACCTCCCAGGGGACTGGACCATGGTACCAGGCGTGGCTCCTCAGGTTGGTGCTGTTCAGGGTCAGTTCATCTTCCAGCTGCTTTCTCAGTTTATCCGAATGCGGCTCCAACCAGAACGTGTCCTTGCAGAACTTAAAAGGCATCACAAAAGCACCATCAGGTCCCAACATCCAAACAGATCCCAGAGAATTTTTATTTTCCTTTCAATTTTTTCTCAATGTGAACTACTTTCTCTAAAAGCTTGCTCTATTATGGGATAGAGAGAAGAGGACGGATGTTTCTGCCTTTCCCGGAATCCACTGACTTCCCTTTTTCCGATTCATTTTCTCTCTCCCTTTACTTTTATAATCACAACTTTTTTTCTCATTTTAAACACATTTTAAATCATTTTTTTGTAATCTTTTTATAGAAATTTATTTTTTTGTTTTTGTGAAGTGCCTCGTGGTTTTTATTTTTTTCTGGCTCTTGGAGAGTACAGACGCATTTTTCCTCCTGTCCTCCCTATCTTATCCCAAGGCTCTTTGTCTGTCTTTGGGTGTATGGTGCTTCTGCATTTTATCTGGAAACTGGAAATTATTAAAAATGGACCTGGTCAGTTTGTCTCTCAACGCGATTGACAAAACATTTTCAACGATGAGAACAGAAGAAGGGGCTCCCGGATGCCCCTCTGGGACAAAGCCAGCTGGGCATATCATGGACTCCTGGAAACAGTGGAACCTGATCTGCCTCTCTCAACTGTCTGTAGAGGATTCTGAAGATGTCTGGATATTTGTGGTGTTGGTGTCAGGTTTCTTGCTGTTTGGCCTGAGCGGTTACCTGGCTTACTGGGAAAATTAATGAGCTGTTGAGGAATATTGGCTCAATCCCGGAGCTCAGGGATGGATTACACTGCGCTGTGAACGCACAAACTCATATAATTGTCGAGATGAGTCGTAAGCTTGGAACTTTGTCTGAGATTCAGACTCTGGCACAGAAGGTGGATTCGATCAAGGAGAAAGTGGACGGGACAGCACGGTTGGGAATAGATTAATTTACGTCATTATTGGATCTAGAGGGGTTGGAGATCAACAGAACTTTAAGACAGAGAGGAAATTATCTCTGTCTGGCCCCAAAACAAAGTTCTTATCTGAATCTGGTGCCCTTGAGCCTGTGAGACTGAAGCAATAACTCCCCCTCAAAAGAAACGTGGAATGCTGCCGTCGCCATGGCAACTCTGTCTCCCTATCCCAGCCTGGGCGGGACTGCGACCGGTGAAGGCCGTTGAATCGTTCCAGGAGTCACTGTGCTTTCTAACCCAATTACCTCCCACCCCTGTCCAAACTAGGGTGACGAGCGCTGCTCATCGCGGCTGCACGCACTGATGTTTGGAGAGTCCTCTACCCTACCTCCCCACCTAGTGGACACTTATGTTGTGTAATGTCTGAAGTCTGTTGCATATCTGTCTGAGGTGTTTTTTGCATAGCAAGGCTGCCCTCCCTGTGGAGGGTAACTCTGGAGTGCCTTTTTTTTCCTCCATCTGACCCGATCCTCATATAAACCCCCTGATCACTATTAAGGTAGCGCGACTCGGGTTGCGAATGACCACAGTCACCAATTCTTGTCATGTGTCTATGCCTATGTTTGTATGTCTGATCTCAGAATTGTGTGTACTGAAACTCTAATTTCCCTCTGGGATTAATAAAGTATCTTTGAATAGAATTGAATTTGAATAAAAGATTGTTTTCTTTCTCTCTTTCTTTCAGGCATTCCAATGCTGGTGGAACCAGGGGTTTAAATGTCAGAGTCTTGGCCTCATCGCCTCGACAACCTCACAGTGAGATGGGGTCATCACTCAGTATCTTTTGTCCTAAGTGTCTTTATACAAACAAAACAACAAAAAGAGGCTACTGTATATCAGAAGTTTATGTTGTGGGAAGTCAGCCTTCTCATTCGCTGCTCCCAAACTCTGGAATACACTCCCCCTCCATGCCCCACAGGCCCCTTCACTAGGTTGGTTTAAGTCTGTGCTGAAGGCCTATTTTTATCACCTTGCTTTTCGTCATTGACCCAGTTTTCTATCTTTTAGAACTGATTGCCATTTGTGTTTTATTCTATGGTGCTTTAATTTTAAACATTTTTAGTATTGTGTTTACTTTTAACTTGTTTTTTTGTCATTGCTCTATTGTTGTGAATCTTTTAACTCATTTTTTATCCTCTCTTATCATTTCAGAACCATAACTAGAACTTTCAGGGCTCTACATGGTCAAGCTCCTCCCTATATTACTGGCCTGTTAAAGCCTTATGCTCCAACCCGAGCCCTCAGGTCCACACACCAGAACCTTCTAGAAGTTTCAAAGACCAGATATAAAAGTCGAGGTGATCGCTCCTTCCAGACTGTTGCACCCCGACTCTGGAATGATCTTGCTTTATCCTTATGTAGCATTGACAGTCTGGACACTTTTAAAAAACTGCTGAAGACCCTCTTTGGTGTGTTCTTGCTGTGTTCAGTTTCTAATTCCATTTTTTGGTTCTTTTTAAAACACAGGAAAGGTTTTTATTTACCTGCAAACGTTTCGTTTGCGGCTGCAAACATCGTCAGAGCTGAAGACCCTTTTATTTAAAGCTTTTACCTAAATCTTTTATTTTCTTATTTTTAACTGAAATTTGTAATCTTTCATTTGTTTTATGGTATTTTATTATTTTAGGACTATTTTTCTGATGTGAATCTAATTTGTTTTGAGATCATTATGATTTTATGACTGTTTTACTGTATTTCTATGTTAAGCACTTTTTGATTCTATAGCTGTGATAAGTGCTATATAAATAAAATTTACTTACTTTTGGCTATTGAATTTGAGGTTTTATTATGGAGCTTCTGTGTTCCTTGCTGTACAGCACTTTGGTCTGCTGTCATGCTGATTTTAAATGTGCTTTATGAATAAATATGGTAGGGTATGGTAGTACGGCAATATATGGAAAATTTATTGTTAACGAAAGTTTCGACTCTTATCGAGATTATTTTTCTCATGTCAATTAATTTTATGAAAAGATGTGTGTAGGTTGGCAGCGTTCATGTCCCTTTAAGAAGCTGTACCACCTAGAGTCACGTAAAAATGTGACTCAACATAATACATGTGATAGCCCCATCTAGTGGACAACTTTTGTTTCTTTGCATACGTGTAATTATTGTCCATTTATTGTTATCGTGCTGAAATTCTAAATACAGCCCGACCGATATATCGGCCGGCCGATATTATCGGCCAATATTGGGGTCATTAACACTATCAGCATCGGCCAAAAAGACAGACGATATGGCCGATATTGTGCCACCTATCCAGCAGATGGCGCCAGCTTTATGAATAACTTTTGCAAATAAGTTCACCAAGTTAACTTCCACAGAGTGTTACTTTGTTACAAAGCACAAGTATTAAGTTTTATTTATTGCTGCATTTTTATTATTTTAATATTCTTATAGGGATCTTCTGTCCCTAAACCTGTGTGTGTTGTTAGATTCCCCAGAGCTAGCTAAGTCAGAAAAAACATGTTTTAACCGGTTGTTTTAGCATAAAGCAATGGAAGGGAAGGTTTGCATTCACCTACATAAAAAACACTACAGTGTATGTGAATTCACTTACATTGTTTTACGCTAAACTAAGAAAACCAACAGCTGCCAGATCATATTGGGCTGGTTATAAAATGCTTACTGAGTGGTGGAATATTCCTTTAAGTTAAAATGTATTTGTGGAAACCACAGTTTACAAGAAAAAACTTGATTGTTAGATTTATGCTGTGACTGAGTTTGTGTATTCTGTTGTTTTTGAGATCTGCTAAATAAATCTTATTTGCATTACTTGGAAACCCTAGTGAGTTATTGAGACAGTTCTTTGGTGTGTAATAGAGAAATAAGTTTGCATCAAAAAGGCAGAGAATGAAGGGTTTAAGCTTAAGAAAATTTTAATTTCTATTTTTTTTTGTGAGGGAGATTAATCGGCCATCATATCGGCTATCGGCCTTTGTTAAAAGTTCTATATCGGTATCGGTCTGAGGCTGGGAAGGCCTCCCCATCCCCTAACTCCTCCCACCTTTCTCATCCATTCGCCTCACTGATCTGGGACTCAGAAAATCTGTACATTAAGCCAAGACCACATTACAGTTTTAATTTCGTCATTATTATCATCTACTACTAGCTTGTCGCATTTAGTAGAAGTGTGTTTGTTAATAGTCTAATCATGAGCCAACAAAGAGAAAAATTCTCTCCATTCCCTGTTGCCAACGATAACCAGGGCAGCTTAATAGAACACGGCATTTACTTTTTCTATGCATCATAGGAGCAAAAACACAGTTTTGTTCCAGTCTTTACTAAATAAAGTGGCATTGAAGAAAAGGAGTGATTGAACAAAAGGAAATAAAGAAGATACACATAAAAAGATGTAAAAAAAAAGAAACTTACCTTCACATATTCTCCACCACTCTGCATTACTGCTGAACACATGAAACACCTGCAACACAGAATAAAACACCAGAAAAAATTTGTATGTAAATTCCTTCAACAAGACAAAAAGAAAACAACTCTGCAGATGCAGCACCAACCTGCTGATCGATCAAATATTCAAATGTCACTGTGTGATATTCAACAAGAACTGAGTCAAAAAATGTACAATTGCAAATAAAATAACACCTACAAAGGGTTTCTGAACCTTCAAATGGTCATTTGTTGTCACTGAATGACTGAAATATATGTTATTTTGCATAGTATTTAAATTTTTCCAGTTTCACATAATTGTGTTTCTGTCAGCATTTTGATGAGTCATGATCTAGAAACAGCATATCTATGAATTATAATGTATATCCTCAAAAATGACATTAGAAAAACCACAAATCTGATGGAGGACTTCAACTTACTAACTTGGGTCAGACACCAACACTGAAGTGCTGAGGCTGGGTGGTAAAGTGTAGGGTTGGGAATTGTTTTATTTTGAACAATTCCAATTCTGATTCCAATTCCTCATTTCGATTCCGGTTCCTATCGATTCCTGATTCAGATTCAAAGTAAAAATGAGGGGGGAAAGAACCTAAAGAAAAAAACAGAGGATTTCCCAATAACACAAACTGCTAAAAGGTGCCCAAAATGGTCCAAGAGAGGTCCGCCTGGATTTCTACCAACTAAAACCTCTCTAACCTTTCTATACTTACTTTTTTTCATGATTTTGGGGTCAGCAAATGTTCAGACTATATTCTGTGGATTTCTAGATGTCTTAGGCTGCAACTAGGCATTTTAGAAGGAATTTTAATATGCAGCCCTAGATTTGTAATACACGTATAATTCTGGGATGTGCACAGCCATGTGGGAAGCTTGACACGTGTAAACAAACCGTCAAACAAACGGTACTGTCGCAGAGAAGAAGCGGATTTGGGTGAAAAAGTGACAAACATTATAAAATCTCAAAAAGGATGCAGAATATACCGGTATACGTTATATAAAGACGTCGAGGACCAGTAAGTGGACAAAATTAGTGTTATAAATGGTTTTTATCCACATGAAAGACCCAAGAACGGAGCATCGATGACATTTTGTTGCCGCCACAGTTCTGCATAAGGGACATTTTCGGCTTTCTTGTTTGTGGTGTGAGCGGATGTAAACATCCGGATGAGAGGTAAACATTTTATTTGTTGGTTTTTCTAGAAAAACAGTCAAAATTATTATCCCACAGAAGAAGTGTAGCAGGAGAAGTTGTGTGTGTCAGCGCGCTGTCATTAGCTCACTGGTATGTGTGTCTAGCCTCTGTGTGTGTGTGTGTGTGTGTGTGTGTGTGTGTGTGTGTGTGTGTGTGTGTGTGTGTGTGTGTGTGTGTGTGTGTGTGTGTGTGTGTGTGTGTGTGTGTGTGTGTGTGTGTGTGTGTGTGTGTGTGTGTGTGTGTGTGTGTGTGTGTGTGTGTGTGTGCATGTTGCGGTTGAAGGAAAGAAACGATGTATAAAAAACATACACCATCTGTAACTGACCAGAATGAAAATACACCGGAAGGTGATTTTTGTTTGCCTTATAGCCAACAAGACTTAGTTATGCTAGATACTTGGTCTCCGTGGTTTTGCCTCCAAGCAGGAAAACAGTGAAAAGTTCGCTTGTTTTCCACCTTTATTTCCCTGGCGATCACATGTGTCACCCCACAACACAGCAATGATTTGCATTGTTGGTTCTTTTTTAAAACACAGAAAATGTTTATTTTTTACCTTGCTGCTGACAGTTTCATTCGTGGCTGCAAACTTCCTCAGAGCTGACGCTGATGGTGGCGTCACTTCCTACTCCGTTTATCCGCGGGCAGCAGAGGACGTTGTCGCCCTCTGCTGCCCGCTCTCCCCTCTCCGACGATGCAGTCCCATGCACGATCCAATGAGTAAACCCCAGTTGCATCTGATTCGCAGCATGATCTATGTTTAACTGCATTTGAAAAATTGTCAAAATAACATAATCCCAGATAACTGTAGACATAAATGTATCTGAATGCATTCTTAGGAAATGTTCTGTTACATTTTTTTTTTACCAATTTAAGCCATTCTACGGCAACAGTTTTTGGCCGAGGATACGACGTTGTCATCGGACTGATATTTGCTGGGATGCTTTATGTTCAACTACATGTAACAAATTGTCAAAATAACAATGATACATGTAACTGTGGACATGTACAAATATATCTGAATGGATTTTTAGGAAAATTTCTGTTTTTTTACCAAGTTAATCCGTCCTACCAAGACCATTTTTTGCCGTGCACAACACATTACCATTGGACCAATATTTACTGGATGCTATACACGTAACTGAGAAGAGCAGACACAGATTCTGCAGCATTCTGGAGGATTTCCCGTTAACTGTGATCACTAGATGAAAAGAGGCAAGTGGCTCAGAGCACCAACTTGCCATATCGGCAGGTTAGTGGTTGAGCCAGGTGGAGGTGTGGCTGCCTCAACTGGAGACCAGTGCAGTGCAGCCACGCAGTAATTTGCTGACAACTTCACATTTTTCAGCTTAGACATCTGCTGTGGCTGGTTCTAAATAAATGTGGAGCAGAGTTTTTAACCTGAAGATGGAGATATAATTATGGGTTTGGGCTGAAAAATCAAATTTAAAGTAAGTTGCACTAAACAGCCAAACTAATGATTACACATGTGTACAGCACCATTAGACACTCATCTATACAGATTATCAGCAAAAAAAGTTAATTTAGGTGTTACTTGCTCTTTAATCAACAGACTTCGTGACTTAGTGGGGATCTCTGGAACTGTTGTTCTAGATTTGTTTAGATCGTACCTTTCTAATAGGAGTTACAGTGTCTGTATAAACCATTGTATAGATTCTACTGATCTGCTCTGTGGGGTACCCCAAGGCTCTGTTTGGGGTCCGTTTTTGTTTCTACTGTACATACACCATCTTGGACAGAAAATTGGTTATTTTCATAATGTATCTTATCACCTATATGCAGATGACATTCAGCTGTACTGCTCCTTTAAGGATTCTGAGATCCGTAAACTGTCTGAATTACTAGAGTGTCTATCAGCTACCACCAGCTGGCTAGAAGATAACTTCCTTCAGTTAAACTCTGAAAAGACTGAATGATCATTGCCCTTGTGAGCATGGTTCCCCTGATTAGTCGAAAACTTGGTTATTTATCCTCTGCCGTCAAGACAAACTTAAGAAATTTGGGTGTTATTTTTGACCAATCAATGTCTCTTGAAGGCCACTCAAAAACATTGGTCTGAAACTGTTTTTATCATTTAAGAAATATCTCCAAACTGTGAAGGTTGGTGTCAAAACATGAACTTGAAATGGTCATCCGTGCCTTTATCTCCTCCCGTCTAGTTTACTGTAACACACTTTTCACATGTTTTAACAAAAAAGCCCTTGACCTCCTTCAGTTGATCCAGTACTCTGCAGCGAGGCTCCTAACTGGAGCAAACAGAAGAGCTCACTTCACTCCTATTCTGACGTCTCTGCACTGGTTACCCATTAACTTTAGAGTTAATTTTAGAGTCCTGACTAGAACTTTCAGGGCTCTACTTGGTCAAGCTCCTCCCTATATTACTCACCTGTTAAAGCCTTATGCTCCAACCCGAGCCCTCAGGTCCACACACCAGAACCTTCTAGAAGTTCCAAAGACCAGATATAAAAGTCGAGGTGATCGCTCCTTCCAGACTGTTGCGCCCCGACTCTGGAATGATCTTCCTTTATCCTTACGCAGCGTTGACAGACTGGACTCTTTTAAATAACAGCTGAAGAGCCTTTTATTCAAAGCTTCTTTCACCTAAATATTTTATTTTCTTATTTTTAACTCACATTTGTATCATCTTTCATCTGTTTTATGAAATTTTATAATTTTATGAACTTATTTTTTCTGATGTTATCTGTTTATGTTTTGAGATCATTATGATTCATTTTGTTTTGATCTACATGAAGCACTTTGTGATTTTATGTATGTGATAAGTGCTTTACAAAAAAAATGACTTACTAACAAGAATCCAACAAAGAGCTGAAACGCTGAGGGAGGTTTCGAGGTGTATTCATTAACCAAATGATAAAAATAGAGTAGGACTATGAAACCTTCTATGTACAGAACAGATTTATCCTCTTAAATATTAATAAATCAGCTTTCTCACCTGTCAGTCTCCACTTCCCGTACGTCTGCTGCAATCTTGGCTGGGGCTTCCCGTTCATTCCGCTTAATTTTAGAGTCTGAGTGGCCATGGGGCATCTCACAGAACCGATCCATTGCAATATACATGTCCTGCTTTGTGGTGGCTCCTGACGCAGACCGGTTCCTTTGGGCCTCATTTTCTCCTGGTAGATCCCTGCAGCTGCTGTCAGGAGCTGAAGGCAGTGGTGAAGCTTGGCTGGACCTAGGGGGTAAAACAGGCTGAGGCAGCACCATAGCTGCCAGGACACCAAGTAAGGGGCAGTCTCAAACATGTTCCACTAAATTCCAATTGTCCAACTTGTTTTCCTTTACCTTCATCCCTCTCCAGCTTGTTTTCTGCTTCTGGCTTTGGGGGGACAATGTTCCCACATGAGTGTGCATAATGCATGAGCAGGCGTAGCTGCGGCTGTGGAGGCAGGACTCTTGCTGCTCCTCTGAAGCAGCTCCACAGAGGCTCCCATTTATCTGTGAAGTGTCTTTCTTGCTGCTGTTATGTGCCGGTTGCAGGAGGACAGACGAAAGTCTCCTCAGGCTCCTAAGCCTTTTAAAACGTAGGGCAGGGTAAAGCTCATTAGGGTTGAAAGGAAAACTGGTTTAATGGAAACATCTGAAAACGTGTGGAACCGAAACCTCTTTCCCACCAAATGCAGAATGGATGCGACTTCTGCACTGACCAAAAATCATTGAGTCAGATCAGAACACCGGCTACGGTGCAGCACGGATCTGGATGTGTAACTCGATAATGTTTCTGCATGGATTCTAGTTTATCCAGGTGAAGGAACCTGAGAAAAAGAAGAATATGCTCTGGTAGTAGGATTGGAGGATTTATAAATCCATTCTGAGACATGAATTCAGAAATAGAGAGTTGAGGCTGGGTCTAAGGATGTATCGATGGGTATAGCAATTGTAATGTACCAAAAGGATCAATTTTCACCACCTAACTGGCCACAGTATAACCTTTCATCTACAGAACTAAATTCACTATCTATCTGGCCTCCAAATCCAGAAGGTTCTGCTCAGTGCTTGTTTACATACAAGAAGACAAAACATTTCAAAGAAGAAGAAGAAGAAAGTATCGTTTCTATAGCGCCTCTCAAGATAAAAATCACGAGGCGCTTCACAAAAACAAAAAATGTAAAATATAAAAAAGAATTTAGAAAAATGATTAAAATATATTTAAAATGAGCAAAAATAGACAATTGTGATTAAAATAAATGTTAAGAAAGAGAGAGAGTGGACAGGAAAGAGGGAAATCAGTGGATCCTGAGGAAGGTGGAATAGGTGGGGAGAGCAGAACAGGGAGAGGGTGAAAAAGGTCACACCAAAGCCTGAACGGGTGAGTCTTCAGCTGCTTTTTAAAGGAGTCCACTGAGTCCACTGATCTCAGGCTCAGGGGGAGAGAGGTCCAGAGTCTGGGGGCCACAGCAGCAAATGATCTGTCACCTTTGGTCTTTAAGCTTGGTTTATGCTTGACGCATTTACTTTCCGCTTGGTGATGCGGCTCGCGGATGGAATGCGCTTCACAACTCGCAGCGTTTATGGTTCATGCGGCTTGTCTCTGCGGTGAGCCAATATTCTCCCAAACTGTAGGGGGCAGCATGGAGCTCTACGGCATGCATCCAACACTACACCATAGTAGAAGTAAAAATTACTGTTGTTTACAACATGGCGACACTACGGATGAAACGTGTGAGGTTACTTGAAGAGGAAGAAATCGTATGTTGTTTACTATTGCTACGCAGCAGACAACGAAGGTCCACTCGTCCACTAAACCAAAGTAGACAAGACAAAGGTGAATATAGTTCCCTTGTGAGACCCATGCGTGGAATCGACAAACAGTCACACTGCAAGTACTTCCGCATGTCTGCCGATAGATTTGACGACTTGTTGCATCGTATTCGACCACATATTAACCACGCAGCGACCCACAGTAGCCCTGTGAAACTGGAAGAAAGACTTGCTGTCACGCTTCGTGTGCTCGCATCAGGAAACAGTCAGCAAAGCGTGGCACAGAGCTACAGGCTAGGATCCACAACAGTCTCCCTCATTGTCACTGAAGTCTGTGAGGCACTTTGGTCGGCGTTGTGCAGTGATTTTGTCTCATTACCTGACAAAAACAAGTGGGCAGACATCTCCCAGGAATTCTGGCGTGTGTGGAATTTCCCAAATTGTTTGGCTGCGTGGATGGAAAACACGTGATCATAAAAGCACCACCAAATGCGAGGAGTGATTTTTTCAACTACAGACTCATTCCCTCGTGCTCATGGCTGTGCGCGATGCTAACTATAGATTTAGCATGGTGGACATAGGGGCATATGGGCGAGAGAGTAGTGGTGGAGTTTTTCAGGAGTGCATGTTCGGGAGCAGGCTGCTCCATGGAACCCTGGACCTACCACCCCCGGCCAACCTGCCTGGTTCCACAACTACTGTTCCACACGTGTTCCTAGGTGATGCGGCCTTCCCTCTCCACCAAAACCTGATGCGGCCTTTTCCAGGTATGTTATCATTAGGGTGTGATTGGATGATGATTTTATAAATTGGGATTATTATATAACCTAATCTCTCTTAACTTAATTTGCAGGAACAAACCTTGATGACACACAGCGGATTTACATCTACCGCCACTCACGTGCCAGAAGGGTGATAGAGAACAGCTTTGGCATCCTGGCAGCCTGATGGCGGATCCTGAGACAACCAATCGACTTCCACCCTGAAAAAACTGTTAAAGCTGTGAAGGCCTGTGTGGCTTTACAAAATTACCCAAGCAGCACTGATGAGTTTCAAACATTCTCATTCACAAAGTGTTGAAACATTTTGCATCTGAAGAAGGCGTGGCTCTCTGAGGGATGTTGGTAAATACTCAAAAACATGTCAGTGATTTGCCAAACTTGGCAAAATTCATAACATGGTGGTTTATTAAAACAAGAATTACTTCCCAATTAATTCAGTGTCTAGCTGGCTCTCGAACCGGCCATTTCGGGAACAAGCATTTTTGAGGCACAACACTGGGTACAGACGCCTCTGTTTGCGGTTAGAGGTTTTGTGTAGTTCTAGACCAGGTTTGCACACACTGCAGCAGAGGTGTTGGCCCACTCCTCCACCCACATCTGCACTAGATCTGTCAGGTTGCTGAGCAACACAGAATTTCAGCTCCAAAGAATTTCTTTTGAATTTAGGTCTATAATGGCAGTAATAATATTTTATCATTTGCTGTGCCTGCAGGGGCTGCATAATGGTGCAGTGCTTAGTGCTGTTGCCTTACCCTACACCCCAGCAGGTCCCTGAGGTCCAGGGACCAAAGCAGCACCAGGCTAAAGGTCAAAGGTGACAGATCATTTGCTGTTGTTGCCCCCAGACTCTGGACCTCTCTCCCCCTGAGCCTGAGATCAGTGGACTCAGTGGTCTCCTTTAAACCCACCTGTTCAGGTTTGGTGGGACCTTCATCACCCTCTCCTTGTTCTGCTCTTATTCTGCCTTTCTCGGGATCCACTGATTTCCCTCTTTCCTATTCACTCACTCTTTCCTTACATTTCTTTTCATCACGTTAAATTTTTTCTCATTTTAACCCTCCCACTGTCTTTATGGGTGACCCCACGAGGAAAGTTGACCAGTGAGCAGGATTGATGGTTTATCCCTTGAGGTCCTGTGACAGGGGTGAGGTGGTGCTCACTCCTCACCAGTGAGGTGGGAGGGTTACACATGTTTTTTATTATTTTTTAAGATATATTTTTTAAACGTTCAATTTGTTTTGTTTTGTTTTTGTGAAACAAAGTCTGTGGAAAAGAAATTCACAGAAGATCTCTGTGGTTTAAGTAAAAAAAAGAATGACAGAAGAGACACAGTGAGCCGTTTGTCCCCTCTGAGCCACCGTCTGTACCAGCAGTCCTAAACGACGTCTGTGAGTGGAACAGAGGACAAAGAAACTGAAGACAAGTGTCCACTCATCCCGTTCTGTTACACAAACACATTTTATCACACATCTCTGTTTGCTCTATTGAGGATGAAGAATTCTCATCTTTTAGCTTTTCTTCTCTACTTATCTTTAATTGGTAATATAATTCTTTCATACAGTCAAAAAACAAACCTTTTATATTCAAACGAAGAAGAAAAGAAGACAGTGTTTTATGATTTTGCCCAATTTTTATTGATTTAGGGCAGTGATTCCCAACTAAGGGTACACAGAAACATGCACATTTTACTACCCCTATGATGACGACAGCATTCGCTGTGTCCTGATAAAAGCAATTTGGGCTGAGATGTGTTATACTTAGTCAAATATAATAATGCACGGTAATATATGGTTGATATATAATCAGTTCAGGCCATTTGTGCATGAATTTTGTCAAGCTGCTTCAGCTTTGGACTAAAGGCTGCTGCCGCCCACAGCGTGTGGTTTAATGAGTGCTTTTTAATAAGATGGATAACGTCGGGTACTGATGTTTAACAGAGAAACATCCTCAGTAAATAATTTTGGCGACAGTAAGTCTTGTCTCAATTAACAGCTCGTTAACATTGTAATGAAATAGATTACAGTTATTTAATGAGCCATAAGGCGTGGGATTCCATAGGAAATATGAAATCCACCTTACGGATCGGTGGGTTATTTAAACCAGAAGATTGGATCTTTTTATTGCAGGGATTAGATAACTGCTTCATATTCACTCAGAGACAACAGAAGAGAGAGTCAAGTTTAAAAGTTAAGATTTTTATTACTAACAAATTAAACTAGACTGACTTTAAAACTAAATGTATTATAATTATAAAGTGGCGGTGAGACAGGTTTGGGTTTTTCGAGTAAACTCTGGATAAGATTTTTGGTTTGGGGGCTATAGCAGAAAATATGGTAAATGGTAAATGGCCTGTATTTGATATAGTGCCTTCTAGAGTCCTGGAACCCCCCAAGGTGCTTTACAACACAATCAATCGTTCACCCATTCACACACACATTCACACACTGATGGGGATGAGCTACGATGTAGCCACAGCTGCCCTGGAGCGCACTGACAGAGGCGAGGCTGCCGAGCACAGGCGCCACCGGTCCCTCCGACCACCACCAGCAGGCAAGGTGGGTTAAGTGTCTTGCCCAAGGACACAACGACAGCGACAGACTGAGCGGGGCTCGAACCTGCAACCTTCCAATTACGGGGCGAGCACTTAACTCCTGTGCCACCGTCGCCTGAATATATGGATCTTTTGCAGCTATAAATAAAATCACAAATTGAGGATTTACTTATCAGAACTTCAAATTTGTCTTCTGAAATGAACTTGTTCTGACTGGAGCCAGAACCATAATCTCACACTGACAGCTTGTTTCTGGAGCTGAAATGTGTTTTGCTCCAGCTGGCAGGGCTGACTGGATCATTCTCAGATGTGATGTTGTATGAACGAAGCGTTAACAAAGAAAACTGAAGACTGTACCATGCATGTCGTGGTACTGAGGGATTTCAGAACAAACTGAGGAACGCGGCAGCTAAAAGGAAGGATTTTCTAAAGAGAAGTGACACTGTGAGCAAAGG